GAAAGTGTGAGCCTTGGAGAAGGAGGAAGAAAAATAGAACACACTTGCACAACATCATTCCATAGGCATTCAAGTAAGTCACAACACAACTATCTCTTTTATTTTCTTTTTCCAAATACATGTTCTTAGAGATTCTAAATATTATTTTCAGATGTGCTTTAATGGTGTACTTGTATAAAGAAATGAAAAGAATTTAGCTTTGTTCCACTCTTAGGACTCGTTGGGGAAGTGTCTATTTTAGTAGGCTATTTGGCTTTTTCGCTATTTTAATAGGCTATTTTAGTTTTTGTGTTTGGGAAGTTGAGATGAATTTTATTTGAGTTGTTGTATTGAAAAATGTGTTGAAATGATGTTTGAAATTAGAATGACAAATTTGCCCCTAAAATATATATATATTTTAATTGTTGTCAAGGGATAAAACCGTAATTTACCATTGATGGAACAAAATTTGTAGCTGACAGTGTAGGCCGCTGTGCAGTCTTTTTTTTTTTTTTTTTTTCCAAAGAATTGATTTTTCAACCAACTTATGAGTTTCCATAAAACTACAGAAAAATCTCGCTTTAAGTGTTAGCTTTTGTGGAAAAAATGTTTTATCAAAAAAGAGTGAGCGGTTTGATAGAAAATCTATGTTTCGTAACAGTCGACGAATCTGGACAACGCTGGAGCATTTCTTAAATAACTAAAAATCTAGGAAAGCTATGAAACTTCTAAAAGATGTTTTGAAAACTATATAAACTTCTCTACAAAACCTAGGAAGGCAAAGTTTAGGAAAAATCTGAAAATGTCTCTTTAATTGCAATCTTAAAAGTGCACCAAATCTAAAAATTTATATTTGTTGGTGATCTCATTTAATTTATTTCGTGAATGTGTTTTTTTATCACTTGTTTGAGTTTTAGTATGGCAATTACATATGTTGTGGTTATATTTACTTGCAATGGTGCTTTGATGATGCTCATACTTGTATGGAAATTATTGTCTCAATAAATTGTTCTAACCTTAACTTGAAACATTTAATACAATGGGAAACGTAAATGGGGTGGTTGTTGGGTTTCGATCACTTGAATTGTATTATGAAAAAATGTTGTGTTTACTTTGAATTGGTTGGCGGGGCGTGTTCCATATTTGAAGTAAAGTCCTGTGCAAGCGGATGTATCGGAACCCTTGAATGGATAGGTTGTATTCGGACCCTAGGTGTTTATGATGGATAAGGTTGGAGGAGATTATGGGCAAGGCCCTTATTTTTGTAGTCTCTTTTAAGGTCCTTAGTTGGCGTTACGTGTTATGTAATCGTTGGTAGGCATCCGAGGTGAGGTCTGCAAAGTAGCAAAAGATGAGGTATACTGAATAATCCAAGTCCAATTCTTGTGGTTGAGATGATGAAGTCTCTTTGGGAGATTTCTAAATTACTAACATCTAACCATGTGATCCTTGTTTATTTATCATACTTCATTGCTGGCTTGCTATACTTATGATGGTGTATTGGAGTGAGAAAAATGGACGGGGTGTGTGTGCATTTATTAGGCATTCAAAACTCATGACGTTTCATGTCAGGTATTTAAGATTATTAGATTGGTCAAAGGCAAAGCTAAAGTATTTGAAGACGTATGGCTACCCTATGAGATTTAGAAACTAGTTTTGAAATATGTTTTGAGATTGTAAGTGATAAATCTCTTGTTGTATTTAAGACATGATTTTGTAATTATTATATATATCGTTTGTAACCTATTTTTATACTCTGTCAACTCATGTAGACATTGTGTTAATATTTTGTCAAGATCTGTTAAAAATGTAGCTTTGTTATCTAAGGTGGTTGGATTTAGAAGGGAGCATATATTGACTCTTCTGACCATTCTCGGATCTTACTTGGTTATTAATTAAAGGCCTCATTAATGACGTGTCATTCTCTTGTAACCTTAGATAAATCGTGTATTTATTTGATATATTTTTTAATGTTCTCGATTTTTTGGACATCACAGATGACAACTAGATGAAAGGAAATTGACTTGGGAGGGATACTGGTGGATTTAGGGCATAAGAAGGAGGCGACCAAAGAGAAGGAATGGCGGTGAGGAAAGAGTTTAGGAAGTTGTGTAGGGTGGCAGAGAGAGTGACAAGTGGCAGATTGGTGAGGAAGAGGCAGGGAAGGTAGTGAAGTAATAATTGGGAAAAAGGTAACATGAAGAAATGAATGTGGCATTATTGATACTGATGACTTTAGGGATAGGTTAGGCCTCGTTTGGGAACAGGCTAATTTAGTAACTTTTTGGCTATTTTGCTAAAACATGAGCTAAAAAAAAACTAGTATGTTTAGGATGACTTTTTGACTTTTTACGAAAAGATGTGCAAAAAATAGAGAGAAAAGAGAGTCTTTGACTTTTTTGTATGAGTTGTTGGCTTTTTGGCTAATTTAGCAACTTTTTGACTTTTTGGCTAAAAATGAGGGTTCCCAAATGAGGCCTTAGTGTTAAAAAACAAAAAAAAACAAAAAAAAAAACTTTAGGGTTAGGTTAGAGTTTATGATAGAAAGTTGAATTATAAGGTATAACAATAAATAGGTGAGGTAATTCAGTTTGATAAAGTTATCAATTCAAATTCTTTTGAATACGACAAGGTCAGATTGATAACGAATAGCACGAAGATTATTAATACGGTGATAAGTTTGGATCACAAAGGAACACACATACCCTGTTAGAATATGTGAATTCTTTGATTTTCATGAAGATGGAGCAATCAATTCTAGTGCAGGGGACAATCAAGTCTCTATCAATGGGGAAATCAATGCAGGGGGGCCTAGATCAAGTAAGAGTAGTCTATATAATTCTAAAACAAGAGTTTGGAGACAAAAAATGGTACTTCATTGAAGTTTACACAAATCAAATGAGTTATCAACAGCTAGCAATCATTACTTGAAGAATATTGGATTTGTTAAAGGATCTCAGATAGATTGGGTGCATATGAAACCTTTTAAATTAAGAAGTGTGCTTGGCGCACAGCTAAATAATGGGCGTGTTCATTTAGTATTTTGGAGGCCTAAATTCACTGTTGTAGATCGAAAAGTTCTTGTGTGACAAAAACAAGTCTATGCTAGTATCCCATGGGCCAAGTTCACTAATTTCTCTTGGGTCTAAAGGAGTAGTGGCAGGGATTGATGTTGTTGTTAAGTCTTTGATACTGACATAAAGTAGCAACTCGGTCAAGAAAGAGGAATCATCTAGATGATATAAGGGTAGAGGTGTTCATATGGTCACAAACCCCAATAATGCTAGTAAAAGGAATAAAGAAAGGAAAAAAAAGTTATTGAAAGTATCAATGGTATTTTCAAAATTCAAAAGATTTTAGAAAGGGTTTGAATTTGGAAGGGGGTTCAAAATTAAATGATTGTTTGATATGACGGTTCGAATTTGGAAGGGAGTGGTTTGGGTGGCCTGTTGTTTGGTGGTTTGGGTGTTGGGATGGTTTTGTTTTCCTTTGTTTGCTTGTTTGTTCAGTTGGTTTCTCTCCAGCTTTGGCATAGTGCTAGTAGAGGATTGACTTGCTTTTTGGCCCCGTTCTAGTTGGATTCGTCTAGTTTGCTATGATGCTTATGTACTCACATTCCTTTATTGATATTCATCTCTGTATTCTGTACATTTGATTTTCATCAATAAAGTTTCTTTTGTTGATAAAAAAAAATAAAAAATAAATAAATAAATAGGTGGGTGAACTGAGAAAATAATAAAAATTAAAAATATATATAGGGTTTGAACTTGTGCACAAAATGCACAAATGAGACTTATATTTTGTGCATTTTGTGCACATATTTTAAATAATATTTTTGTTTCCTAAAAGTTAATGCCATGTTTGATTAGAGATTTGGAAAGGGGGGATTGGACAAATAATCCTACAACTTACTTAATCCATGTTTGTTTGCAACAAAATGGTATGGGATTGATAATCCTATGAGAATATGAATTCCTAGGATTAGCATTCCCATGAAAGAGTTGGGATTGCTAATCCTCTTACAATGTTTGGTTGTGAAGGCTATGTTTGATTCACAAGATTAATAGTAAGGTATTAATAATCATATCAAGTTAGTGTGATATTCACTATCCAATTGGATTAATAAGATAAATTATCCATTGGATTAATAATCTCACCCCTATCCCATTACTAATAATCCTATAAATTTGTTAGATTAATTATCAATTGGATTAATAAGATAAATTATTCATTGGATTAATAATTCCACCTCTATCCCATTACTAATAATCCTACAAATTTGTTGGATTAATAATCCTAAACCAAAATGTTAAAACAAACATAGAATAATTGGGCTTACGGATTAATAATCTCAATCTCATGCTCTAATCCATCAAATCAAACATGCTCTAAAAGTCCACTTTACCTTCCATTTTACAAAATAAGAAGTTTATATTTTATGTAGTAAGGGTATTTAGGTAATTTTATACCACTATACTAGCAAACAAATATACACACTTTATTTTATATATTCAATCTAATGTCACAACACTAATAATCTTTTCAGTCCATCTTACTTTATTCATAATCCTATTCAACCTAATATGCCGAATAAACAATAAGGCCTCGTTTGGCAGTGTCCATTTTAGTAAAAAAGTCAAAAAGTTACTAAAAAAATTAAAAAGCCAACAACCCATACAAAAAAGTCAAAGATTCCATTTTCTCTCTAATTTTGCATAGTTTTTCGCAAAAAGTCAAAAAGTCATCTTAAACATACTAATTTTTTTTACATCATATTTTAGTCAAAAAATTAAAAAATTATTAAAAAAGTCTATTCCCAAACGAGACTTAAATGTAAATACTAGTTATTATTATTATTTTTAAATTTTTTGGTTGGGTCGTCAAGTCATGATAAGTGAAGATTGGGGTTGGGCCTAGCTTGTAAAAATGAGCTAGCCCAAAACACTAGACAGGGCCGAATTGGCCGGGGAAGACGACAAAAATCACGGCACATTTTAAAAACAAAAAAACAAAAAAAACAGAACGGTCGTACATTCAAAAAATCAACCGCCATTGGATATACACTCACACTCTGCAAAAATATTTCTCCCTCGTCAGAGCTCAATAAACCCCAAAACCTAAAACCCTAAAAAGCAATGACACCCTAAGAGAGACAAAGAGGGAGAGAGAGATGGGTATATCGGAAATTGATTGCAGAGTAGGCACTTTGGTGTGGGTTCAGAGGAAAAATGGGTCATGGTGGCCTGGCAGAGTAGTGGAGCTCACTGAGTTCTCACCTTCTCATCTCACCCACCGCAGAGCCTGCACACCCGTCAAGCTTCTCGGAAGAGAAGATTCTAGTGTGTACGTCCTAATATATAAACATTTATGTACTTGTATTACATGTAAACAGAGGAAAAAAAACTAAAAATAGATGTAATAATTATGGGTTTTTTTTTATAATTAATTTTTATTATTCTTATAGATTGTTGTATATATGTGTATGAGTGCATGAGGTTTGATAACCTGTTTGTGGTTTAATTATTTTTGAATTTGTGCTAATATTTAGTACAGTTTCTGCTTAGGGTTTAGTGACACTGACAAGATAGCTAAATAAGTTGAAAAAATGATTTTTGAGAAGTTGTGGGAGGGGTGCTTTTAGCATACACCAAACAGCCTCAAATTATTTACATCTCTGTGCAAGCATTAGTTTTTAGATGAGTTGGCAGAGTGTAACAAAATAAGATGTAGCTGTAACTTTTATGTTTGTGTTGCACTGATTGTGAAAGTTTGCAAATGTTCTTAAAATTCGAACTAATTTGGCGCCCTAGGTTATTTCTCTTTGAGCTGGAGCTATTGTTTTGCTCCATGACACATATCATGAATAGATTCTCAGTGTGTTTGGACTGAGCTGAGTGGTGCTCATAGCTGACAAGCATTTAAGAATTGTTTGCTATTCTTCGTAATGAGCTGCAGCAGGGGAATATTTGGGGGTGGGATTCTTTCCCACTTGTTTTTTTTCCTTACAATTTTCTATAATATGTTCAGAAACCACAATTTTGTTTGTAGTTCTTTTATTTAAACTTTTACTATAATAACATGGTTTTTCATTGACTTTTAGGGACTGGTACAATTTAGAGAAATCTAAGCGCATCAAAGCATTTCGATGTGGTGAGTTTGATGATTGTATTGAAAGAGCTGAGTCCTCCCATGCCAATTTTTCGAAGAAAATTGTCAAATATGCACGTCGAGAAGATGCTATTCTTCATGCTCTTGAGCTGGAGAAGCAAGAAGTGCAGAGAAAACACAAAGCAGCAGGTTCTTTTCTAACTGTTTGACCGGTACATTACTTGTTGTCTGAGAAAAGAGAATGGACAAATCTTCAACTAATGGGAAATGCTCAGAAATCTGAAAATACTTTTCCTAGGTACTGTTTCCTCATAAAGGATGTGTGCACAGACTGCACGCAAAATTTGGGAAAAGGATTTTTATTTATTTGTTGTTTTTTGACTTTTTTGGATAAGAGTATGGCAAAAGCCAAACAGTTGAAGCAACTAAACCAGAAGGATGATAATTTAAGTCGAACCTCAGATGTGAGTTTTGGAGGATTTTAGGCTCAGAATTACCCTTCCCAAAAGGAAGCTATCTTGGATTGCTTCTAATGTTATGGAGATTTTACTATTGGAGAGATCTGAGAGATGCCTTCTTCATGTATAAATATTATGGTGGGAAAAAATTTATCAGTTTGTTGATCTTTATGTTCTGTTGATAATGATGTTTCTCCGTCTTTACCAGGGAAGGAGTGGTCAGGAATAATCTGCCAAGCAAAAAGAAGCAGACGTGTTTACTTACCAGCTGAGTCAAATAATTGCTGGAAGCGCACAGCTTTTCGTCCCAAACCATTGCAGGTTTCAACCTCAAAATTTGAAATGCGTGAATGTCCTCAGCAATCTGGTTCAGCTGAAGACAACAACTCTTCCAGATCAATGGAATCTGATTCATCTGAAAGTGATTCTCAAGGTCCAGATAGAGTTCAAAGGGAAACACAACTTTCAGGTTTATAATCTCTCTTCATGGTTTCATATCACTGAACCTCTTATCTTTCACAGATTCGAAACCAGTAAATCTTTACCATTCCGATGAGGAAGCTAATTTTGTGTACCTTTACTGATTTCAAAATTAAGCTTTTATTTCATGGCTTTACTACTACTATTATTATGATGTGAGTTTGTTTGTTTGAAATTCAGTACAATATGCACAGTTACTCGTGTATCATTACTGAGTCCTATACCCATGAATTCTTAACCTACAAAATACATAATTATGCTTAAAAGAGTCAATGTGTGTACATGTATATTTACACACACATATACGTATGTGGTTAAGTTGGGTACTGAGCCTCACACAAGAAAACCTTTGTGCTTTTTTGTACAGACAGATTTCACATGTGCATGACCCCAATCCCAATTAAACCAGATTACCTGTTATGTTTGACTCTTTATCATTTTCATGTTCATCCTTCGTCAATAGCCCTAGATAGAGGGAAACGGTGATACTGAAATTATATACAAGTAAAGAAAAAGAATAAAAATTCCTTACCATGGCTTTTGAAATGGTATATGCGACCCTTAGCTGCTACTTTTTTTCCTTCTTTTTTCTCTAGGAAAATGTGGATGATTTCAAGCTTTTCAGCTCTATCCAAATTATACTTGCATGATTTGCTGTTGGATTCTGCACTTGGCTAATTTTGTGTACCATAATGAACACGAGCCAAGTAGAGGCTTTAATATCTAGCAGCAAATTTTAATGACTTACATCTCTAAGAATTTAATCCAAAATAACTTGCTGTAAAAGCTTTGGAAGTCATAATTAGTATGAGATTATTTTACTTTAAATGCAATTTGTCGGTTGTCCAACAAGATGTCGACCAATAAAACTGTATATTCATTTGTTTCAATACAATGTGTACATCTGATATATATAGCAATTCTAGACCTAATCCTAAATAGGAAACAAGAATAAACCTAAACCAATTCTAAATAGGAAACAATATTCACATAATATATACTATATTAATATTATTCTCATAGACCAAGCTAAAAACAAACAAATAAAGAAATGAATAAATAACTGAAGAAAGGGGAGAACTTAAGATGTGGGCACATGGATGGGTAAAAATCAAAGAAGACATGGCTGGTAACATGGCAGTAAGAATCATTGCAATCCCATATGTTCTGAATACTTCTTTTTCTTTTTTCGTTTTTGGATAAGTTTCCCACCCTTTTGTTTTGATTTTTCTTTAGTAATTAATTTTTTTGGTTTTCATTTCGCCAAGTATGGCTGTTAAAGAAGCATGCTATTTTAATCTCTCTTCTTCTTTTTTTATTTTTTGGGAACACCAAGTTTTTTTGAGTGTTTAACTCTGTTGGGTTTCCATTATAGTTGTATGGAGTTTTTGAATGGTTATGTTCTTTCATATATATATACACATATTATGTGTATATATATATTTTTCTGAATGCATGGATGCTGTTTGATTATATAGATGCTGCTATCCTTGTGTCAACTCAACCAAGTAATTCAGGGAAGTATGATGGGCAACCTGGAAACATGAACGGGAAGGGGAATCATGAACTCAATAACTTGTCTGATGTTCCTCTTAAACACCTGACTGCAGCTGAGTTTGGGATACAGAAAAGGGTGCATATAGGAAAAGAAAACATTTGCAATCTAACCAAAAGGCAACTCGATGTGATTGATGTAAAGAATTATGTCAAATTCAAAAAAAGGATACATAACAATGGTGAAACTTTGACTTCAAGTGCAGCTTTAGCTTATCATAGTATAACTGAATTAGACACAAAAGCAGGGGAAAATTCAGTTTGGGTGGCCAATACGCTGTCTCAATCAACTCCAGTTTATATTGGCTTTAGTAATAGGATGGAAACAACATTAACAGATGTGGAGTTGAAAGTCCAAGCAAGTTATCGAGAAGATCATGTCCCTCTGGTTTCTCTAATGAGTGGCTTAAATAGGAAGGCAATAGTAGGGCACCCGATTGATATTGAAGCCTCAGATGACGGTTCTTCAGAGATCCTTCTTGCTAGAAAACATGAAATTGGCCACAAGTTGTTGGATAACAATGGGAGTACCATGCTTCGGCCAGCTTGGAGAACTTCTAGAAGGACTCGTGTGTGTTATGTCCCACAATCCCATACTCCTCCCACTCTGAATGATGCTAAATATGCACAAGCTTATCAAAATTCTGGTCATTTAAGTCTCAAGGCAAGGGCAAACAGTTTGCAACCAACAAAAGACATTCCGAGGAAACCTAACTTGGTTAACCTGAAAACAAGAACAATCTCTTCATTTGACACTGAACAGAAACTTGGTGGCAATGAGGGTGATCTTCAACCCATCAGCCAGGGCTGCATGATAGACAGACAACTGAAGGCAAAAGACATGCCTACCAGAGTTACATGTGTCCCTGTAAAACTAATTTTCAGCAAGTTACTGGTTGCGGTTGGTAGGGTGCAATCTTGAATAGAACCTTTTGGAGTTATTAACTTATGGCAGTATAGAAGGAAAGCCTGTTATAGTATACAAAAATCTGTGGTTGTATAGAATCATATTACATTCTAGTTTTTATCTGCTAAGTATAGGTTATGGCTCTTAATTTGAGAGATATCAGGGTTCCATTATTGGGTCTTGTTTGGGCATACTTAGTAGAGCATCCTCTGGGGAATTTGTATGTATGCATGCAAGTTGGAATTTTCATCTAAATCCCATTCAATGTGATCTGTTTTGTAGCTTTTGTTATCACCTGCAGTTGGGTTTGGTGTGGATGCACATGTTCAAATATCATATTGCTTTGCAGTAGAGATATCAAAAGTGGATGAATTTAGTTTCTTTCATAACCAGCTTAAGTAGTTTCTTTCACCAAAAATCAAGATTTGATTGGGTGCATTATTGCTTAATTATATGATGGCTGTCCAATTGGCTCTAATAATGTGGATAAAACAGAAATCCTTATTTGTGGAAAATAAAGCTGGTCACAGCATGCTCAAATAATGATATTGTAATTCTGTTGCTACAGAGAGGGAAATATGTGAACTTGTATTCAAGGTAGAAGGCCCACCAACCAAATTTTACAGCAAGAACAACACATAATCACTCATTTTCTGATAACTTATTAATTACTCCAACAAGCACATTTAGTTTGCTTAGAGCATCTCCAACGATTGACCTATTTTTTCACCAAATTTGAGTAAAAAAAAGACAAGTTTCTCGATATGATACGAGCGGTTCCAACGGTTGCATTGTAGCGTGTATCAAAAGACACGGGACGACTGGTGGGAAGACCGGCCAGTTGACTGGTAAGGCAACTGATTTTTTTTTGTTTTCCCCTCCTTTTCTGTTTCCCATTTCTTTTTCCTTCCAACAAACCTCACCACTAATCATTCAATTGTTCAAGCTCAGCCTGCAATTGCTTAATCTTGAGCCCCATAGACCTTTGTATTGCACCCTTTTCCTTCTTTGGCAAATTTGCTAGCAACCCCTCGTACATCTCCAGAACTTCTTTAACCGCGTCCTGAGCACACAAAGCGTCCTCATCGAAATACACAGTTGCTTTGGAATCCAAGGCCGTCTCTATCTCCTCCCTTGCCTCTGTGAACTTGAGGTTGATCTTGTCAACCACTTTGCTCGTATCAACACAGTATTGCCTCGTAATCTGGAAAATCCCCAACTGGGTTGCAGAGTTTGAGCTTGTTGGGCGAAGAAAATGATGGATTTTTATGTGATTTTGAGACAAAAATGAGTCTGAAACGCATTGGTTTGAGAAAGTTGTGAGTGATTTGAAGGTAAAAGAAGAAGTGGGTATTGAAGATCAATGAAAAGGGTGTCTAGAAAGCGATTTACAGAGAAACATCGTTGAACGCTGAAGCATTTTGAGCGCAAACAGGAAGAGAACAGTGCGCAATTCGATTCCAAAGAAGCTTGTCATTTTGTGTATGCAAGGGACGACCGGTGGGACAAACCGGCCGGTTGTCCGGTGGGACCCATCTCCAACGTAAACGCGCAGTGAATAGATGAAAACAAAAGTAGCTCCTCAATTTGATGAAAGTTTTGCTCCGTTCTCAGTTTGATATTAGTTTGATGAAACTGTTGGAGGTCCAAAAGTTGTACTTTTTTATCAAATTCAAATTTGATGAACAATCTGATGAACCATTGGAGATAGTGTTATGGAACCTCTTAAAATTAGCTTGTCTAAATGGTAGAGATGCAGAGGCTGTTGCACATTCACAATAATAAATTAAGTGTATGTAATATTCATGAATTTGAAAAGGAAACTTCCACCATATCAAAAATTGTCTATCACTTCAACAACAAAATATGTACTCTTATCAAGGTACAAAAACTGTATATAATGTCAGTTGTATGATTCCTTTAACAATGGGCTATACAACAGAGGTTAACAATTAAGGGCGCAAATCTTTGGACATTGTGTTTGATTGACTGTGCATAATTAGGATTCATACTCTTCACAGGAGAAACCCAAGGTACAGTCAATTGCATCATGCATTTGGTCAGCTACATACTTACAGAACAAGGCGGTATCCCCTTCAATACTTCCACAGAGGTGCAGCTTTGTTGAATCCTATGTATTTGTTTGAAACACTCTTCACCGGATTGGCTTTGTTCTCATGAGAGTAGTACACACCACCATCAGTATTTCAAAACAATCGCCCAGATGTCACCAATCACCATTGCCTCGATGGGAAAGTGTTATTTGTTTAAGTCACAGATTAGACTATTGAATCAACATTCTCCTAATGAAACTAAATTGGTTGGATGGTAATTGATGCAGAATTCTCCAATTCTGAGAGCAAGCCTAATTCATACAATACTTCATATATAGTTTTGGATTGAGGATGCGATTCATCTGCAGCCAAAAATTCATGAACCACACCCTCCACCTCTATAGAGCTACGTCCAGGAGTCTTCTTGACACCCCTCTCTCTCATCATACTCCTAACCAAACGTACATCAACCCATCTTTGCTTATTAGCACATATACTCGCAAGGAGTATATAAATGCCACTGTCGTTAGGGTTCAAGTGTAATAGCTTATCAGCCGCAAGCTTACCTAGCTCAACATTTCCATGCATCCTACATGCATTAAGGAGGGCACCCCAAACGGCTTCATCAGGTTCCATTGGCATCTTTGTTATCAATGCATGCGCTTCTTCAAGGAGCCCAATTCGACCAAGTAAATCTATCATGCATGCATAATGTTCCACTTTGGGCTTCATTCCAAAAGCCCTCTCCATTTTTTGAAAATACTCTCGACCTTGGGCAACAAACCCACCATGACTACAGGCCGACAAGATTCCCACAAATGTGATGTCATCAGGCTTGAATCCCATATTTTGCATTTGCTCAAAAAGGATTAGGGCCTTCTCAGCATGCCCATGAGAGGCACATCCAACAATCATGGAATTCCAAGAAACCAAATCTCTCTCTTGCATTTCATTGAAAAGCTCTGCAGCTGCATCAATGTTTCCACATTTAGCATACATGTCCATAAATGCGTTTGCTAGAATTACACTAAGTTTAATCCGCCTTTGGCCGATGTAGTAGTGGTGAATTTGTTGACCCAAATCCAAACAACCCGATTGAGCACAAGCAGAGAGCACACACACCAAAGTACTCTCTATGGGAACCAAACCTCCTTTCTCCATCTCATGAAAAAGCTCTAGAGCTTCCTTTGGGCGATTGTTTTGTGAATATCCAGCAATCATTGCATTCCATGACACTATATTTCTCTTGGGCATTTCATCGAAACACTTTCTTGCTAAATCCAACTCCCCATTTTTGGCATAACCATTTATCATACTTGTCCATGAGAATACATCCTTAGTTTCCATCTTGTCAAAAATCTCTCTAGCTGTAGCCAAGCAACCACACTTCACATACATATCCACCAAAACATTGATCAAAGTTAGAGTACAATTAACATTCGTCATTTTCACATACTCATGAATAGATTTCCCAAGGCCTATGTCCCCCTTTTTAGAGCATGCTGAGAGCACCGTGATCATCGTAACCTCATTGGGTTCAACATCACTTTCCAACATTAAGTCGAAGAGCTTCAAAGCCTCATCACACTCATTTTTCTGTGCATACCCATCAATCATTGTGGTCCAAGAAACAACATCCCTCTCAGGACTTTCAGTGAACACTTGTCTTGCATAGATCAAACACTCATCATTCGCATAAAAATGAATCAACCCATTTTGCACAACCAAATCAGAAGTAAAACCCACCTTCCAAATTCGACAATGGACCGACTTTCCCAATTCAAATCCTCGAAACATCTCACACGCCTTGAGAACAGACACGAAGCTTCGCCTATCCACTTCGACCCGTTCTTGAACCATTCTTCGAAACAAAGAGAAACCCATTACAGGAATCTGAGCTTTACAGTACCCTCTGATCATTGTATTCCACATATAAACATTGGGTTCGGAAATCTGCGAAAACAGAACATGCGCATAGTGTATGTCACCGGTATCGGCAAGAGCACAGAAGGACAACACTCGGCTTACTGGGAAGAGGTGAAATATGAGGCCAGTTCGTGTCATATGAGCTTGAATTTGCTTCAATTGGAACATGGAATCGCATGACTCCATGATTAGAAGAGTTGGGTTGTTGATGATGAGAGTGGTTTTCGAGTTCCATTTGGGTTTTTGGTCGGAGGATGAAGAAGAAAATGGTTTCAGGGATTGGAGGAGAGTTTGGGGGTTGAGAGGAAGGTAAGAGAGGGCTTGAATTGAGTGAGTGCATGAAGGAATGTGAATCAGAGGAGAGAGATGAGGTCTCATGTGAAGTGAAAGTGAAATTCAATAATGCAGTATGGTGGGGAAGTCATATAAACCCCCCTCCTTCTCCCACCATTTTTGTGTAATTAGAGCTTAATTAATGTATTTAAATTCAAATTAAGAGTAATGCCACGTCCACCGAATTTTGATTTGTCAGATTCGCCTGAATTCATACATGTCAATCGTCCAACCAATTATCTGATAACAAAGGCGACAATCATGATTGACAAGAGTTGTACCTATTGCTCGTACAATGAATTGTTTTTGATTAAATACAAAAACATTATGTATCTAGAAAAATAATTCTTAAAAGTGTTTGTGAATTTAGAATTTGAGACATTTTTTTTTAATTTTTTTAAATCTCTTCTAGTGCTATACATAGTGTCCCTAATATAGGCTGCACATGAATCGAGCTGAGTCAAGTCGAGTTTTGTTGAGTTCGAACTCGGTTCGTTTACTTATCGAGCTTGTTTATTGAGCTCGAGCTCGGCTCGATAAGAAACTGGGTTCAAGCTTGGCTCGGTTCGACTCGTTAATTTTAATGAAATTCGAATTTGGTTCTGCTCGATAATTTTTTTTAATATTATTTATATTATTTAAATAAAAAATATTGTTTATATTATTTAATATATAAAAAATGTATTTATATTATATATTTATATATTTTTAATATATAAATAATATATTTATTATATAATTTAAATAAAGATAAACGAGCGTTTTTTTAATTAATTTTTATTTTTTGTTATTCATATAATAGAAAATTTCATGTTAAAATATATATATATATATATAATTGAAAGTTTCAATTTTATAAAGTTGTAACGTCTTTCGTTTTATTTTTTGAATTTATTGATTAATAAAACATGAAATGGTTTTATGATACATTTACATAAAATATGTGTAATAATTTCAAACTAACTAACAATTAAAATGTATGTTAACAAAAGCCAACTTTATTTTTTGAGACGGGACTGTCTTCTGTCCAGATCTGGGACAGTCCAATCCAGTTTGGTCCATTAGACTTATTTTTGAATCCTTTTTTGATAATCAAAACTGTTTACATTTTAAAATTTATTAAGTACATTATTTCTGTAAAAAATCACGTCGATCGGATAACGGATACTACATATTTGGATCACTTTTGTCTGAAAAAAAATAGATGGTCGAAAAACTGACGATTCATAAAAAAGTGATTCGAATACAAGTGTTACCAAACGGCACCTAAGTGTTACCAAACGACACCATAGTATCCGCTATCCAATCAACGTGATTTTTTACAGAAATAATGTACTCAATAAATTCTAAAATGTGAACAATTCAGATTATTGAAAAGAGATCCAAAAGTGGACTTAATGACCAAGACTAGACGCTTCAGTCCAGATGGTGGACTACAGGCAAGCCCCAGCCGTATTTTTTCTTGGAAGAAGACTTTTTATGTTCCAATTTCATGTGAGATAGATGAATATTTTGCATTTTAAAATTTTGAACCTTTCATAGGAAAGATATGAATGAAGTGCATCTAATAAAAAATTGAAAACATGAAATTTTTTTTATTAAAGACAAAAATAAAAGATTCAAAAAATAAAATTTAGTTCAAAAGTGGACTTAATGACCAAGACTGGACGCTTCAGTCCAGATGGTGGACTACAGGCAAGCCCCAGCCGTATTTTTTCTTGGAAGAAGACTTTTTATGTACCAATTTCATGTGAGATAGATGAATATTTTGCATTTTAAAATTTTGAACCTTTCATAGGAAAGATATGAATGAAGTGCATCTAATAAAAAATTGAAAACATGAATTTTTTTTTATTAAAGACAAAAATAAAAGATTCAAAAAATAAAATTTAGTTTGAAAACCATATTTCAGCCATCATATTATTCATGTTCCACTCTAATGCATAGCCAACATGGCCATTGACTCTCTGCATCTTCATAACATTGTTGCTTACACTAAAACATAAAAAGATCACATAATGGCAGAGATTAAATTAGTCATATAATTTTATTTGACACCATAACTTCCAAATTCCCTTGTTCATAAAAAAAACTCTTTTATGCTTCAGAAATGATCTCCTGTCCCGGAAAACTTATAACCCTTTATCTTATTTGACTCACAATCGTTTGATCATACCTCGAGAAGTTCACATGATTCAACGATGTGTAGAACTCAGAATTGTTTAAAAAAGAAAAAAAAAAAAAAACCTATAACAGCATTGGATATATAAATTTACAAACGGCAAATATCCCTAGCACGGGGTTTCAGATAGCTGACTATTCAAAGCAGATTCTAAGGGATGAAGGGGAAAACCTTCATTTTACTGAGGCACTATTCGACCCCAGTTTTGCTCTGCATCAAATGGCTCGATTACATAGACTGCACCATCGCTCATTCCAAGCGCGATTTGATTAGGTTGAGATGGATGTGCTGCAATAACCACAGGAAAGGCACAGCCACTGCTTCTTCTGCAGAATTAATAGCCATCTTTAAATGATTAAATCAGCCTCTCAGTTATTACATCATTCGGGAAATGGAACAAAGCATAATACAGATTATCTTACCTTTAACTTAACATACATACATACAGAGAGAGAGAGAGAGGATCACATAGCAAAAGAGAACACACAACAACAATTGATGCCTCCAAGTTACCAGCCACAAGTGATCAAAATCAGAAAAGTTTCAAGAATCCAAATCTTGTTTGAAACTTTATCCCAATATAGAAGTTTGCCAACTGATAAAGATTGGGAGTTAGCTACAGAAATATGTGGGATAAGATTTTTTTTACAATGTAACTGAATATCCAACTGCAAATTTGTATTTCTCAAAGGTTTGTGAGATTCAACTTATCCCAATGAGTCGAGTCTCCAAATGAGGTGGTTAAGACTACGGCATCAAAACATGGTTGAGAAATATGACAATTGGTCATCAATTCTTGGTATTTGGTATATCAGCAATACTTGTAAAAGGAATATGGAAAAACAATGAGAACTTGGGCTGAGGTAACAAAAAAGACATGACTATCTTAGCTACAACTGAGGATATAATTATGAATGGAACTAATTAGAGAAAATGGATCTATACAATAACTCCATGTAAATGGACAGACTTGTTGAGTTGAATATATTACATATATGTTGAAATTATTAGGGAAAGTCATGGTGAAAAAGTCAGTTCAGTAAGCAAAACTTTTCTAATGACCCACAAGCAGCACCCGAAACAAAATATAAAGGGAAAATGAAAGTGGGAAAATTTATTATTTGTTTCCAAAGTTTCCCTAACTTGTCTCCATTAAGGAACAAAACCCAAAGGATGATGAAATATAAATTTCTCTACCCTGTTCGATTAAACAGAAAGTGCAGCTAACAAAATGAAAATTGTAGAAGTATAAATTCAATTTTCATAGAGAAGGCTGCTAGTTATTTAAGGTTAGCTCACCTGGCAATGGGTGAAGATGTATAAGCAGATGGTGCTAGCCGACATCGAAGCCTGAAATTGCCTGCATCAAAAACTCCAATAGCACCATCACGAAATCCGGCAAAGATTAGCAGACCATCACATGAGTATGTTGCACTCGAAATGGAAGCAGAAAGGAAACCCCTGGGATGCCACTGCAAGAAGGTCTACAAGTTAACAAATTTAAAGGACAAAAATAGACAAACACACAGAAGCAACAAACACACACAAAAGCAAGGTGGCAGTAAAGCAGCTGAGATGGGGGATGATAAGGTTACAACAAACCAATGCTGCATTTTGTGTGTGTAATAAATCAAGACAATAGATACCTAAAGACAATAGAAAAGGTTATCAACAAACCAATGCTGTATTTTTTGTGTAATAAATCAAGACAATAGATACCTAAAAACAATTGATCAGGAAAAGAATTTAATAACAGCCACCATAAATGCAGAAAAGACTATATAGCACTCACCTGAATTACTTACTATATTAAGATGGTTTGGGTACATGTAACGGAGATGTTTAAATAAGTTCACGCTAGGAACGCTTTTGGTTGGGAGCTTTTATTTCATCTTGGGCTGAAGTAACATCTAATTTTCATTCATTCGTTAAAAGAAATGTGCACTAACCAGTAGCTACTGAGAAACATAACTCTTTAATTAGATAACTCATCCAATCCCATTACCAACTAATAACTATAGTATGATATCAAGAGCAGAATAGTATAGATAGAACTAGATTCTGGTTAGTTTATGGCAGGACAGTTTGGATTTAGGTTTGAGGCAAGATAAGGAAATGAATAAAAGGTGCTATCCAAAACCACCTCACTGTAGAATAATGAAGGAAATAGTAAAGACTTTGGGTCTAGCATACAACTAAGGAATTGATTCGGTCTGTCACTCTTATATGTCTTTGACTTCCCTGAGTGTGATATTTCAAGAGTAGAACTTTTACTCGGTTCCTATATTGTAACATATACATGCAATTTAAAGCTTTAATAGCTTAAGACAGCAAATAACCCTCCATGTAAGAACATGGTCTTCCTTGCAGGGCATTTTGATTAGAAATAAAGTATAACTAATTCATAAAATTTCATTATAGCTTTTCTCTCATGTTGGTTAGTGGCAGGCATGCTAGCTGTGCAAGAACAAATGAACTTGTTTGCTGATCCAAAGCCAAAAAAAAAACAAAATGTTGCTAGTGTTCTCAGTCAAAATACATAAATCGACTTGCAAGATATATTCTCATCATTCATGTTCATAATTTCCAAGACTTAAAAGGCACTCGAGGGTCATGCATAAAATATGTTTTGATCGCTTTTGGAGGGCCATGACAGAAGAATTCTAAATATAAACAAGAAACAGGTATATGCAACTCAATGTTTCCTATGTTTGCCATCCCATAGAAGATCGCATGTTTATCATGGTTCAAGATTGGAGAGATCAATGCCATTTCTGTCTTGACCTGCTCCATTGCTAAAAAATGAATTGGTAGCATTTAAGATATATGATGTAAAGGGAAGCTGCACTGCAACAAGAAAGTACACATTCAATGATTATAAATCTCAATTGGGAGAAATAAATAAAAATGCTCCAAGAGAGTACCGTAACCTAGGGCTGTTCAAAAAACCTACTTCACCCAACAAACCTGACCCAACCCAACAAGAAACATCGGCTACGTGAAAAGTGGCGGTCAGTCTCGGGCTGGAAGAGTACAAAATTTTGGAGCTTGGTTGGTTGCTAGTTTTGTGCGAAAAAAAACACATCTAACCCGAACCAATCACAATACCAGTTAGGGTTGTGCAAAATACTGTCCAACCTGTTTAACCCGTATGAAAAACAATCATGAAGGTTGAAAAGGTTCAGTGATTTTTAAGAACAGTTCGGTTTGATGATGGTTCAAGACTGTTTAACCCGCCCCGTCCTGCCACAATTTATAAGTTTTGTATAGTTGGTTTAGGCACCGCCACCACACCAAATCATTCCCCAAAAGAAACCCTATATTCCTTCTTCATTTCAATCCTTCTGAATTAACAAGCTCCAAACAGAGCCTCCTATATTCCTTCTTCATTTCAATCCTTCTGAATTAACTAGCACCAAACAGAGCCTCCCAGCCCTCACTCAGTCTTCTCTCTTCTTGATCTCACCCTCACGGTCTCTCACTCGCACTCATTTCATTGCTGACCAACACTTCCACAGTCCTCCACAGTATCATCTCTTTCAAGGGGTTTACTTCTAAGGCTTCAAGAAGGTAATGATCGTCGATCAAACACAAGCCTCAGGTAATCCCTTAATTTTCTCTCTCAGATCGTCGATCTCTCTCTCAGATCTCCCATTGATACTCTCACTCACTGGCTGCCTCCACTTCTACTCCCATCCACTGTAGTCCCCCAACATGTCCTCCCCAGATCCTGCTCCCCACAAAACTGCTACTCCCTAGGTTATGCTTTATTTATAGATCTTACATTTATGTACATGTATTTGTATGTGAGTGTGTTAATGAAATTTGTTTGATTGTTGGCAATTATTTGATTTTGTTGCTTTAGTTTCTAGAACACTGCTTGTTGCACCCAACCAACCCACCAAGTTGAAACCACCAATAAAATCTACCCGACCTGCCAAATTTAACCACCCACTATTTGGCGACAGGAAAAATACACAAACTGCCTACAATGGTTCAGTTGATATTTTTCTTCAAATAAGCACCATCCGACCCGTGCACACCCCTTTATTAGCAGTAAAATGCAACGTATCAACTTTTACGTGTGGCGTTTCTTTGTTGGATGGCTAAGATTACACCTTATCTCCCTCTCTACCTTATCTTCACATGACTCTCTCTCTCTCTCTCTATCTCTCAACCTTGTTTCTCTCATTTGATCTCTCTACCTTATTTTCACATGACTCTCTCTCTCTCTCTGTCTCTCAACCTTGTTTCTCTCATTTAGTGGTCTTTCCATCAATTCCCCTCCACAGCTCCCTCATGAAACTCCCTTTCTCTGATCTTCCTCACCCTTGAAACCTCCCTCCCCCGAAAACCCCTCCCCTCTCTGATTGTGGTGATGAGCGATAGTAGCAGTGGTCATAGTGATGGTGATGAACAAAGGAGGCGATGGTGATGTATTTCCCCTCTCTATTAGTATCGGTGAGTCTCATCTCTTTCTCTCTCTCCATAAATTTCTTCATGCTTTGAAAATTGTTGTGTGAGTTGTGTAACTAAGATAGTCAAATTTGAGATTTGTTTGATTTGTGTGTGAATCTAACGACCAAACTGACTGCCAAACCGAATGGTTTGACTTGATCAATTTTGGATGCCAGATTGGACGACAATGGATGAATAATTTCCTAAATTGTTGTGTTCAATTCAGTTGACGGGACAAGGGTAAACCCGACAAGGATGAACCTATTAGTATACCAACTCCAAGTTTCTACAAAAAAGCTTCAACATAATGATGCCTGAGACACAAATACAATACAATAAAAACACATTGACCTTGCAACTTATTTAGGGGGGAAAAAAGAGGAAAAAAGATGGACATGGAAAGGACAAGGAAACAAATAAATATACATAATATGTACAAAAAATAATTTCATCATTTTCTATTACAACTATATTAAGATTTTATTATATTAAAATAATTTCCACATTCTATATTTTAATTGGAAAAGAAAAATGAACAAAAAGTTTGAATATCGATATTAAAAAGCACTAGTATTCCCAAATAAAAGATTTTATGCATTTTTAGCCCCTAAAATTGAAAATCATCAAGAAAGAGGGACTAATAGATATAACCATGAATTGTTTTGGTTTGAATCACCAACTCCAATGTTTTTTTTTTCAAACTTGTAATATTTTTTGGTATGTCTAAGCAATGGGCACATATCCTCTGCGTACCCAAAGCATATCCGATACCTAAAAAATTAAAAAGTAATAATAAGACACATTTGGATGTATATCCAACATGTTTTGGGTTCTGTTTGAGGACTGTTCGTACTTCTCAAGTGATGCTACAAAGGTTAAGTTAAATGCAATAAGGTATAAAGATTATGGTCTTTACATTCTGTGTAAACATGAGACAAAAATTGTCAAGATTTACTCTTTTGGAAGAGCATCACAAATAATTTTCTATATTGGTATTGCACTGTGAAGGACTAACTTTATTCAAGGTGGGTATGATTTTGGTGATCGAAATGAGGCTAGAGAAGACATCTTAGATTTTGCAAAAACATGTTATCTAATACTAGCCAATAATTTCTTTAAGAGGGAAGAACACTTAATAACTTTTAAAAGTGGATCGAATAAGATTCAAATGTATTATTTTCTTGTGAGAACAACAAATCACTTAATATGCAAAGATTCTAAGGTTTTACTCAGAGATGGTTTAACATCACAACATAGGCTAAAAATACTAGATATATACATTAAAGGGCAAAGAGTGAATAGTTTTGCTACCGAAGTTCGATTACTAATAAGGACGGAGTGGTTGGAGATGATGTGACCTACCAAATTAAAGTAGGTTGGTTCGAGTGAAGGAGTGTCTTTTGCATATTATGTGATCAAGGGATGAGAACAAAAATGTAGGCTAGCGATGCTTCATAGAACAGAATGTTAGACAACGAAAAAACACTCATTTTATGTAGTGTAACGAACATTCAGCTCATGTTCCATCACTACAATATGCAACAGTAAAATAACCAACACATATATAGGGAAGACTGGGAGTCCCAAGCATTAAGGATATTTACAATGATATTGCATAGCTAACCAAGAAGTTATCTCTAAGAAAAAAAACAAGGCATTTTTAACAGGAGGTCATATAACTAGGACTTGTAGATCAATCGGCCTTTAAAAAATTCTTTCAACCCTATAAGTAATGTACTCCTATTATTGACCGCAATACCTTTCATTTATTATCATTGTCCCACATTCATTTTTCTCTTTCATCTTTTCCTTTCATTTCTCTCTCTCATTTTAATAAAATTTATATTGTTGGAACCTACTCGGCGAGATCTATCAAACAAGGTCTCAATTGAATATGAAATTATGTAAAAATAAAAAAGGTAAATTTCACACTATTTTAGGTCCAAAAGTGTAAAATTGTTTTCATAGTTTTCAAAATGTGAAATATTAGTGAAAGTGTGAAATGTCACACTATCAATAACTATTTTATGTGATCAATTGTTTTATCACTAGGAAATTATACAGCTTTAAAGTGCGAAATTTCACATGTCAAATGACTATTCTATCACTGCTTAAATCTCTAAAATTACTCAATTTTGAAAGTATTAAAGTTGAAAATTAAAACTTGTGTAGCTAGAAACTCAAAATGTGGGGTTACATAAACTCAAAATTGTAAAATTTTAGTGAAAGTGTGAAATTACACACTTTCAATAAATGTTTTATTGTTGGGAAATTAAATGGTTTTGAAAGTGTGGTCTGTTTTATCACGAGAAGTACACAATCTGAAAGTGTCAAATTTCACACTGTGAAATTCCCCAGTGAAACTGCTAAATTTCATACTTTCCACCTTTTAATTCTGAAAATTTTCAGCTTTGAAAACAAAAATTGTGAAATTTTACACTTCTAGAACTAATTTCCAAATGTGTGAAATTTCCCAGTATTAGAAATTTAATTTCTAAAAAATTTCAGTTTTTTAACACAAAAATTGTGATATTTCACACTAATAAAAACAATTTACGAACCTCAACAAGTTTGAAATTTTACCTCCTTTTTTTTTTTTTTTTTTTTTTCATTTGACATTATTTCATATTCAAGTGAGATCTTTTTTCATAGATCTTGTCGAGTAGGTTTAAAAAATATAAATTTTATCAAAAACAGATGTTTACATTGGAAGTCATGAAATTTTAATTTTTAAAACATAAAATACTAATGCTCTAGCTACATCAATGCCCCTTGGGCATGCTAGCTTCTTTAGTTTACACCATATATTATATAAGGGTAAAAATGGTCCAAAGTATTACTGAAATTTAAAAAAAGGACTTGAGTTTCCAAACATTCATACAACGGGACTTTATGAATTAACAAAAAGGTCATGGGACCTATTGGGAAACAAGTAGATGCAGTGGAACTCATCATTAATTTTCCCAATATACAATAATGTCACCCGTGTTTAATTGCTTAGAGATTAGCTATGCAACATCAATGTAAATACTCTAGCAATAAGGACATTGATGGCTTAACAATTAAGTCATTGTTAATTCTCTATGTTTCCAATTACACATCAGAGAACCAACCTAGAATACCAAGAAACATGGTTTACAGTAGAACTAACTATTATAACATGACCAATAAAGTTAGAATAAAATTCAAATCCTTTTGATGATTTTTGAACTCCTAGTTTGACAACAAAGGGCCAGCAACTGCTGTAGAATGAATAATGAAGATGTATATTCTGTCGAAAAGTTGGTTGCCAATGAGTGTGTGGATTCTCGGATTCGACAACAACGACCCGGTTTGATCTGCAAATTGGATATTGAGAAGGCATATGACAACGTTAATTGGGATTTCCTCTTATACATGTTGGATCAGATGGGTTTTGGGAATACTTGGTGCCGTTGGATTAAGTTCTGTGTTTCAACTGTGTGGATGTCTGTCTTGATTAATGGAACTCCAGCAGGGTTTTTTCCGACGCATCGGGATCTTCAGCAAAGGGATCCGTTGTCACCTCTGTTATTTATTTTAGTGACGGAGGCGTTGAGTAGATTGTTGGATAGAGTTGTGTGTGGGGGTCTCTTGGGGGGCTTTGCTGTGGGATCATTGTCTGGGCGTCTCTTGTTGTATCTCATTTATTATATGCGGATGACGCTCTGATTTTCTGCGGGGCTGATGTGGAGCAGGTGGGTCATTTGAGGTGTGTTTTGTTATGCTTTGAGGCAGTATCGGGCCTCCAGGTTAATTTGCTGAAGTCAGAGCTTATTCCAGTTGGGGAAGTGGAGCGGTTACTGGTTTTGGCTGTTGTAGGATGTCAGTTTTGCCGGTTTCTTATTTGGGTTTGTTGTTAAGTGCCTTTTTCAAGGCAAAAAGGGTTTGGGATAGGGTGGTAGAGCGCGTACAGCGTCGTCTGGCGGGTTGGAAGAGGCAGTATTTGTCGAAGAGCGGACAGTTGACATTGATTAAGAGTGTGTTGAGCAGTATTATGACCTATTTTATGTTGGTCCATGTTATTCCAGTATCGGTGGCACATCGGCTGGAGAAGCTTTAGAGGGATTTTCTGTGGGGTAGTAGTGGTGATGAATTTAGGTATCATCTGGTTGAGTGGGGGAGGATTTGTCAACCTAAGCAAGTAGGAGGGTTGAGGGTGAGGAGGTTAGTGACTTTTAATAGGGCTTTGTTAGGGAAATGGTTGTAGCGGTTTGCCTTGGAGGCGGATAGGTTCTGGCGAAGGGTGGTGGCTTCTAAGTATGGGGTGGGAAGAGGGAATTGGATTTAGAGGGATGTGCTCACCACGCATGGCTGTGGGCTTTGGAAAGGGATTTGGTTGGGACGAGAGGAGTTTTGGAGGTGGGTAGGGTTTAGGGTGTGCGATGGGTTGCAGGTGCGGTTTTGGAAGGAGAGGTGGTGTGGGGGGGAGTCTCTGGAGGTCCGTTTTCCGTTGATTTTTCATATTGTGGTTGATTGGGAGGCGACGGTGGCATCTTATTTAGGGGGAGAGGATATGGTGGTGTGGGATATTCAGTTGTGGCGTGTGGTGCATGATTGGGAGGTTGCTCAATTGGTGGAGTTGTGGGCTGTTTTATATGAGGTGGGACAAGATGTTATGGGGTGGACTAGGGTGGGGGCAAAAGGACGGTTTTCAGTTGCATCTTTCTATAAGGGTTTGATGGGGGATAATGGTGTTGCTTTTCCTTAGAATAGTGTTTGGATACTGGGTGTTTCGTCTAAGGTGTCCTTCTTTATGTGGACGGCCGCTTTAGGACGGAATCTTACTTTGGACAACTTAATGCGGCGTGGTCATGTTTTAATGAATCGGTGTTGCATGTGTTGTCATGCTGCTGAGTCGGTGGATCATTTGTTTCTTCATTGTTTGGTGGCTTCCTAGTTGTGGGGTTTCATTTGTTCTCTTTTTGGGATTGCTTGGGTTCAACCGAAAGGGGTGTTGGATATGCTTTGGGCGCGGTGGCGTGCTAGGTTTGGGCGTCGCCGGCGGTGGGTTTGGGTGTTGGTGCCGTTTTGTTTGATGTGGTTTGTTTGGTTGGAGCGGAATTGGCGTACTTTCTTAGACATTGCTCATGGGGTTGCTTGATTACAAAATCGTCTATTAGTGGTTATGTATAGTTGGTTGGAGAGGAAGGTTGATCCAGACATTTTTGATTTTTTGGATTTTCTAGAAGATGTGATTGGTTAGCTTCGTTTATGTTTAGTTTCCCCTACCTGGGGATGGCATCTCTGTATTTGTTTGCATCAGCTTGATGCGTTCTTAATAAGATTTGTTTTATTTATCAAAATAAATAAATAAAAAAAAAAAAAAAAAAAAAAAGAAATATAATTCACAACTAAGGACACCAGTAGCTTCAGCATGATACTTTGAAGGATTACAACATAGAGGAGTTGGAAAAAAAAAAAAAAAATACCATTTGAAATGATACATTCATGTTCCTAAGGTATACTTTCAAACTATTTTAAAAACAGTAGATCACAATGATTTATAGAGCAGCACAACTGATAACAGAACTCCTAAAATATAAAAGCAATGAGGCAGACTTACTGATTGCAAGCATTCGAGCTGGATATTGTAAACAGAAATATGGCTTTCATGAACCACTAGTAGGTGGGTTTGATCATTACAGAATTGAATTTTAGTTTCTCCAACCAGGGGAGATGGGTAGCCCCGTCGTGCTTGTATGGGCCTTGAATTCATCTTCACCCATCCTTCAATGTTCCAGACGCATAGCTGCAATTCAAATAGAGCATCAAGCATCGTAATGCAATTGTGTAAGTGGTTCAACATCATGAAAACTAAACAGAAAAAGAAATGCAAGTATCATTTTCCCCCTCAATGAAATATGACATTTCATTTTTTAGAAGTGGTTCCAGAGATGGACAAAATTTTGAAAGAAAACAGAAGAAAGAAATCTCTAACAATCTGGAACTTACCTGTGCATCAGCCCCAGATGACACAAGAACATTTAGAGTCTGGGAAAATGCGAGCCCCGTAATTCGTTTCTGGTGACCCTTGAGCATGGATTTTATCTACCAAAGGGGTAAAAAAGTATGCCCAGTTTAGTCCACATTAGATGGGGGTGAAAAGTAATTTTAAAGACCCATACTATTGTCCTTGAGCAATCAATGACCTTCCAAACCCAATTATGCCTAATTACCAAATTAGCATTTAGAGAAACACACATGTGATAGCACACACAGCTTATGGTTGTTTAATATTGACTAACTTCAATGACAGTTACAACTGTAATGAAAGAAATCAGCTGTCAAACGATTCCAAACTAAAGTCAAATTATGAATTCACTGCAAAAAAGCAGTGATAATAAGACTGATCAGGATCATCATAGGCAACATCCTGCAGTTTTTCTATAAGGCAAGCACAGTTGATAGCTCCGTGACTTGTTAAAAGATTGGTGCTTCACCTCGTCAGTCTGAACATTGAATATAAGAATGGTAGAATCCTCCATTCCTATAGCAATGATATTGTTATCTTGCGGATGGAACGCCAAGTAGGTTGTTGCAGGAGGTGGACCCATGAAATTTTTCATAACCTGGCCAGAAATTCCCAATTCCAATTAGTCTAGCAAAAGTTGCAGAGCCATCAGCAATCTGGAAGTTTGGAACCAATCAACAATGGCAAATAAACTACAAGATCATGTCATTATTGAGTAGAAGGATAGCTACCAACCTTAAATGCAATCATGTTGTACAAAGAGATCTTCTCACCAGAGGCAGACATGATATAACAATCATTTTTAGATAATGCAATGCATGCAACTGACTCTTCAGCTGGTTTAGTGTCACTCAAAGTATTTGTCATAAGATTCCCAGTTGCAGGTTGCCACAACTGTGGCATAGTAGATGCAGAAGACTGGCAGAATATAAAGAAAAGCAATCAGAAATTCAATCGACTAAAACTTTATAAAAAAGATAGCACGATTGAAAAACAAATATGTTCAAATACTAACTTTCCCAGATGGATTATGTTCAGTACGCGACCATTTCCAGAGCTTATGAATGGCATCAGAGGCAAGTGCCAGCAGAGCAACCCCAGAATAAGTGTAGAGCAGGTGGACAACCTATGGTCCATGATACATGATACATTGCACTTAGTTCAAGCTAGATAAAGATGGCTATGGGGAGAGAGAAAAAAATAACAAGTACTCTTAAAGAAATGGGTAAATGACACTAACCTCCCTTAAGGTTTGAAAAAAATACATCAAGGCCCACAAGTTTTACATAAATTACATTGGGTTCCCTTAAGGTTTTAATTCACACATAACACTTTCCTCCTTTTTCATTAGTAATTTGGTAGTTGCATGAATGAAAAAATTGATATTGTCATTTCTTTTATACTGAAATGTATATTTACCATTGTTTATCCCTGTGTCCACACATCATCTACATTAGTTTAGATTGCTTTAGTCTTACTAAAAGGGAGGACAGTATAATTATGCCAAACTTATGGGACTTACTATATTTTTTTCTAAACCATAAGGGCGGTCAGTGAGGATGAATGCCTCAATAAACAGGACACCTTAAGCATGCCATGACGGAACTAGAGATAGTATTTCACAAGCTACAAAAAAAGTTGTGAAAAACATCACAAGATAATTTAAGATATATGTTCTCATTAAAAGCAGATGTCTTTCATAGAAATTGGAACTGCAAATTTGGATAAGTCAGATCTATATAGATATCTTTCTAGAACATACCTTACTGGCTGGCAATGGGTCAGGCAACCGTAAAACCTTGAGTTGAGTTGAGTCAACTATATCAGGGAACTTGCATCTTCGAATTTTGTCAATATTATCTGAAATCCTTGGTTTATTATCAGCCATCATTCTGTTCTCGACGGCAACCTACAATTTTCTCATACAATATAATCTAAGGAAGCATTGAAATGACAAAACCTGATAATGAATATAAGAGAAACAGAATAAAATGGTGCCAATTGACAAAATGTTCTGCAGTTAGAAACTATAGAGCCAGAAACATTTGTAATGGGGATTGGAGACTGCAGACAAAGTTGCAATGAATACAATCAAAACCCAATTCATGTGGGACATAACAAAAATCATAAATAAATAGAACAAATGAGTAAAATTACTTTAACATTGACAACTTCAGGAAGACCTCAAGACCCCTCAAACGCCATGCTCTCAGATGCCATCAGTATCTGCTAAAATCTTGGTTCTTGTCACTTGCTGTGACAGCCAGCAATGAATCTTCTTTGTTAATATTAGTACGGGGCTTGCCTGCAAGGAAGCCCCAACATCAAATAGAACCAGAAGAGTTTTGTATTATTCAAGTTAATGTGTTGTGCTTAACATGACAATGGTGTGCAAAAAGCATACTAACAGGCAATCCACCGTCTGCACCAGCAACTGTTAGTGTGCAGGTATTACCCAGATCACAAAACATCATCTGGAATTCATCCCAGCAGCTAAAAAAAACACACTCCTTTGATGTTTCAAACTGCACAATACCTAAAAATCACTTTCTAAAAGCAGATTATGGTGGTGTTTAATCTAGAAGTTCTATTGAAAAATATTCTACCGTTTGGTGAATTTTACAAAAAAGGCATTTCACTAGAAGTCATGAGCGGAGAAAATCCATTTCAAAGAAGCCTACTAGGCTAGCTTCTGAATTGACTTCTTGTCAAATCCATCACTCACTCAAGTGACATCCATTTAATTCCACATACTATCCCCATTGTTTGTAACAACATGTCAATAACACCCCTTATATTATTATATTTACAAACCCTGGCCTATAAATAACGTAGGTTATGCGTTCACTTTTATCTCCAAGTACCCACAAAAGAGATCCATGCTTTTGTTGGTTTATAACGAGAGAAAGAGAAGATGGGAGAGGAAACTTGTCTATCATCTATTACCCATGCTTTTTGTTTATCTCTAACTCTATTTTACTTCTATGAAGAAAAAAAATAGTACAGCAAACATACCCATCTGAGTCAATGTTGAAATATATATGTAGTCCACATAATATTTATATATATATTAAAAAAAGAAACATGAAACCCATTACATTAGTGGTAATGGACAGTATTCGTCAGGTTGAAGTTATTTGACACTTCTGAAATGTTTGCACCAAATGTACACTTAAATATTGAAAGCACTTCTTGATTCAAAAGTACTTCCAAAATTCACCAAACTTCCAATTTCTCTTGAAGTCCTCCCTACAAAGTCCTTGAGGAAAGACTTTAAACAAAGAGAAGCTATGCCAAACAGGCTCTATGTCTTTTTAATAGCTCCTTCACCCTCATTCCACTCAACTAGATGAGATTCACCCTCTTTGCTTGTTCCACAAGAGAAGTCTGAAAAAATAGTTAGAGAGAGAGAGAGGATAACGACCATGATTCTTGACAACATTAACTACAAAAGCATTTCCGATTGGTCATAATCATCATAATCATCGTCATCATCATCATCACACTAATAATAATAAGAAGAATGGTATAAAGGTGCCACTTACACAAACACCTTTAAGGTTGCTAACAATGGGCAGTTGCTGACCTTACAAAAAAAGAAAAAAAAAATACTGCCAAAATAAATGAACACTTGGCACCATTCACAAATAATCCTGCCTTTTTGTTAACAATATTCCCCATGTAAAAAGCATTAGAATGAAGAAGTATAAAGTATTTCATTTGTTAATACATTCAGTAAATGATCAAAAGTATGCCTCTGTTACAAGCAGTGCCATCTTATGCTAGTTATCACACGGCTAATTAACAGAAATGAGGCTTTTGTTCCATGTCACTATTGCATTTTGCTACTCATTGCCATCGTTATCACTTGCTACCCGTGGCTCCAACCTTACCAGATTGTATGTGATTTGAGGCTCCATTAGAAAATAAACGAAGGTATAAAGTCTTGTTTTGAACCTTTTGTCTAGTTCCTCATCCCATGTCTACGCAAAAACTTTCGATTTTCCATCTCAGTTGCCTGAATAAATTCAGCAAGTGTCTGACTTTCACAGGTCCAGTTTTGATGCAGCAATAATTTTTTATGGATTTATTCTCTCTCTCTCTCTCTCTCTCTCTCTCTATTCTTTTCTTTTTTCCTCTCCTAGATATATAATTTTCTTTATAGATACAGCAATATACTATCATACGAGCCATTTTATCTTTCTGAGTAGTAATGAGTGTTACACGATCTTGGGTAGAACTCATACCAAGCTTTTGGGGTGAGTTCTACCCAAAATCGTGTAATCAGAGCCAAAGTGCTGAAGGATGGGTAGGGTGTGTGTTCCTGGCCCACACGCCGTAGGTGCTGCCGAGTGAGAACGCTGGGCGTGAGGGAGGGTGTGAAGCAAAGTCCCACATCACCTGAGTACTAAAGTAATATTAAGCACATAAGCGTGAGGGCACCCTCACCTTAATAGCTAGCTTTTGGGGTGAGTTCTACCCAAGATCGTGTAACAATGAGGTCTTTCTGGCTGTTAGCACATGCTTATTGTTTATTTCTTTCTCTTCATTTTACTTAGTTTTCTATCTTTGAGAATGTATCTCTCTCCCGTGTCATCTACTCACGCCACCTTTGTAATAGTAATGGTGATGATGATAGTCTTGTTCCATACCACAAACAAAATAATAATAGTTGTTCCTACGGATATGGAAGCTAGAATTATTATTTTGGTAAAATTTCAAGCTTAACCGAAATTTTAGAAAAACTGTTTGCAAATTTCAAGCCCTTTCCAGTTGGTGTGGGAGGGAGTGGGGGGATCATACCCATTTTGCATAACAATTATATGCACATAGGCACTTTCCAAACTAATTTCACATGTGATCTCAAAATTTTGGTGCCCCGTCAATTTGCACATCAAACAAAATAATATGAAATTATTACATCAGATTATGGCTGACAAAAATTAAATCTTTTGTGCTAACTTTTCTATTTATATAGCATGTCTGGGATACAATTATACAGGATAAAATATATTCATACATAAGTAAACTTCTTCACAAGTGGCTAAGTTTTAGAAGCAAAATAAGAATCTACAAAACGTTGTGTTGCATTTAATGGCTTGCTTCATTGCTGCACTTATATGATTCATGAAATTGAAAAATACCAAGTAAGTTAGCTACTATATAATATCTAAAATGGTATTAAGTTTTACACGATCGTCTTGTAAATGTCGTGGACAACCAATAATTGGCAGACGCATCAGCTAAACATTGCACAAAGAGAGAGAGAGAGAGAGTTTATATAATAACCTAATTTAACTAAACCATGTTTATGGTTAAACCATTCATTTGGACCCACATCAATTATTTCTTGTTGGATTGTGTTTCAGAATAACCTGATCTGAAGTTTCATACAAGCAATGTCGTTCACCAACCGTCACACACACAAACATCCGCACACTCTCTCCCACATGATCAACCGGCAATGTCTTTGTTCACCAACCACCACCCTTATATTCTCTGTTCACACACACGTTGATGTTTAAATACCCCAAATCAATTGTGTAGCAAAATCTGTGGCTAGAGTTAGGAACCTCCACAATTAATTGTCTCCATTTCAAATCAAGGGACTAGCTAGTGAAAAGAGAATTCGAAAAAAGACAAAAGGCGGGCAAAAGAGGGAGAGGGAGATGAATAAAGAGAGATCTGATGGTGACATTAGTGGTAGATTTGGGGTGTGATGGGTGGTGTTTATGGTGCCGAAAAAAAAAGAAAAAGATATGGGGTGGTGAAAGGTGTTGGAGGAAACATATCTGTAGGTGGTGAGGGGGCCAAGGGCAGAGGAGGATGTAAAGCACAAGCTTCACAGGACAGCTGTGTAGAACTTAATCCCGTCTGAAATATCCTATTTCTAGTCATTCACTTCTAGTAATATCATTTGCATGCCCAAAAGGTCTTCAACATAAACTACATTGCATACTAAATTTTTGTGTTTGGATTCTAATTATAGAATATATTGCTTTCTTATAGTCTCCGCTCTCATCATCGGGAGCCAGGATTTCTGTGTTTTACCCATTTATGAAAAAGTTTCTTGGATGACAAAGAAGGCACTTCGATTGGTTCGTTCATCATCCCATTCTCGTGTGCAATCTGTCATTTTTCGTATGATTTGGATTCTACTAAGCTCCCTATTTATTAAAACTAATTGCATTTCTAAGGGCATCACCAACCCTTGACTCAAACTTGTATCAAATTTAAAGTTGAGTAAAAATCACTCAAATCACCCTCCATTCCTTGACCCAAATTATACCAAATTGAGTTTTTACTCAAATTTTTTCCCTGCCAAGTCAAGAGAGACTCAAAATTTTCAAGACCATTTTGTGGCTCTGAAATTATCAATTTTTTTAGGAAGGGTCCTTCAGGACCACCCAGGAGCGTAAACTCGAGGATCAAGCAACACCCCTTAATCATATGATCCGGGCAAATGGGAGGGGCCGACAAGAGTTGAACCCAAGTTGCCACTGCCATTAGTGAAGCTTTTACTCAAAGTTATGCTTAAATATGAGTTGATCCATTGGAGTGGTTCATATCAAATAAAGATTTGAATAAAATTTTAGTAATGGCCATGGATGGCCTAATAACCTCTCATAGGGGGTGTTATATAGAACATAAACACTAATACCTAGCAATTTGCATTTTGAGGAATATCACAATTTGTTCCAAAACAATAAAATCCAAAGTGAACCAAACATTTTTTTTCTATTTAGTCATAGTGTTTTCCATATCAAAAACAAAACATCAATCGCAATCAATTAAAATATAGAAAGAGTATAAAAATTTCTACAAAAAGGTGGCCTTAATTGCATGATACCTCAACTTATGCAGAATATACTTCAAATTGCATTTTAGACAACAAATTTGAATATCAATCAATCTATCTCACAATTAACATTATTTTCTTCTGCCCATTTTCCATGAATGCAATCTGAGTAAAGCAAGATTAAAAAAAAAAAAAAAAAACTAAAATTCCAAGTTGGGTACATAATTTTTTGTTTTTACCTGAGAAAGAAGAGAACTGGGAAGAACAGAGTGAGAGTGATGAATCGAAAGGACGAGAAGATAGAGGAGATCTCTGGGTCGAAGAGAGAGAGAACTGAGATGTCCCTGAAGATCTGTAAGGCGGTGTGGGTTTATTCACGCGTTCTTAACATTGTCGGAGAAAGAAAAAGACACTCTTCAAATTACTCCACCATTTACCACTACTACTATTTTCTTTCTCTTCTGTGTCTTTTCTTTTTTTCCCCCTTTTTTTTCTCTTTTCAGTAAAAATTGTTTTTTGGGGTGTTTGTCTTTTTCTTCTTTTGTTTGAAGGTAATTACACCGACTACCCCATAATCTGAAAAATTAACTGCTCCAAAATAAGAAAAGATTTGAATAGCAGAGCTAGAGATAAATGGGGTTGACTAAAAATGGATTACAAATTAATTGAGAATGTGAAAAGTTGTTGACCTGATGGAAAGTAGAAAGTAATTACAAAGTGGTGAGAATTTTTTTTTGTAAAATTACTAAATTAACTTTTCATAGATTATTTTTTATTTTTTCTGTACCGACCACTATACTCGTTGCTAGCTACTCTTTTACCTTCTAGCCTACTTCTTTGTTGTCTTCTACCCTTGCTTCCAGTAATCCCATCATTCACGATTTTGTGTTTAGGATTTTTGTGATTGTGATTTTTACGATTTAGTTATTTAAGATTTTTAAGATAGTGATTTGAAGGCAAGATGAGCTTTTCGTGATCATGATCTATATGTGATATGAAAGGGTGAAAAATGAGTTGTAAAAGGTGATGATGACGAAGAAAGTAGTGAGAGTGTGACTGGCAGCGACGGAAGGAGAATAGATAGGGTTAACGGTGACGTAGATACCGATGCCAGATAAGACAATGACGGAGTTGATCAATGTAAGGAGGGTGAGGTGAGCTAGGGTTTGCAAGGAAAGGGTGAAAAGAGAAATATATAGGGAGGATGAAAAGATAATTGAATAATTTTACCTTTTTCTCACCATTTTATAATTATTTTATATTCTTTCATTCTTACTGTAATTATTTCAAATTCTCCATTCATTTATAAGTTTTTTTGATCAATCTATTCAAATGCAATTCTCTATTTAAATGCAATTCTCTCATTTATAATCGCATTAGATATTTGTTTTCATTATTACCCATTCCTAAGATAAATATATAACCTGTATTAGATATTTGTTCTCATCATTAGACATTCTTAAAATAAATATCAGCAATACTAGGTATGATGAAAACCCTTTCATGAAAATAATCATGAAAGTTTTTTGACCCTTGGATTATACTTAGAATAAAGTACCACACACTAATTAAGATAATTTAAGGATCATAAATCTTTCAATATAATTTTCATGAAAAAAATTTAATGATCCCTAACTTTTCTCAATAAATATATAACAACATTATAAATGACACTCATCACTTTTCGGAGAATTTTAAAGAAAATATGAAAGAAATTAATCATTATAATTTTTATGTAATTTTTCATTTTTATCAAGCTTACTTATGTGATAAATTATTTTTTTTTCTTCTCTCTTATTTCTTTCCCAAGCAAGAAAGAGGAAGGACAAATATCAAGCAGGTGGCATTTGGGGTTAATATTTACTTGGCAGTGAGAACCTTTCTTGAAATTACAACACAAAGATTTTTGTAAAACTAATTACATAAACATGGAATCTGATAACTTTTAGAACAAAACCCTCTTTGCCTTTTGTCATTTTCTGTACTTTCAATATCTTCACCCACATGAACTCTATTGGATGCAAGTCAAAATTGTAGCATGATGAAAGTACAATTGTGGCCGATGCCAGTGCTATTTGCACATAGTGCAAGTATAATTTGTGCGCGACACAAATTACTTATAAATATTTGTAAATAATTATTTTTATGTAATTAAAATTAGATGTATGGTTACAGCTAGTATAAATAACAAAATTCTCTAAAATTACTTTTTGAATGGAAAAATGTTACTATTTTTAATCTCCAACTGAAAATGTAAGGACTAAAAATAACATGGTTGTAAACTTTGGGAGTGTTTGGGATGCAAGTTTGGGACTAAAATAGTCAATAAAGACAACAAAAAAAAAAATGTTAAAATAACTAATAAGAAAAAATGTTGAATTCAAATTATAATCATTTCATTTTTTATCTCACAAACCTTCAAATCAACTACAAAAATAAATAAATAAATAACTATCATCTAAAACACAACTTTTTTAATTATGCTAAAATAATAAAAAAAAACTAAAAAAAAAAACTAAAATAACTAAATTCCCAAACCAGCCCTTTGTTGTCAAGTAGAAATTGTGGCATTGTGGCTCGGTGCAAGTGACTGACGGTTGCCTGTGCAAATGATATGTACAAGTACAATTTGTGTGGTACTTTCTTTGATTTAGTTTTCAATTTATGATTTTATTTTTTATTTTTTCAAAAAACTAATAACTAGTTCGGTCAATAAAATAAAAAAATATATATATATATATATAACTTATAATTTTCATGTGAATTTCTCTTTCTGAGACAAAATTAATTATTAGAAATTTTAAAATATAGTTTTTGTGTTTACTTTCATCAAATTAGTTTATATTTTTTGAAAAAATAATAAACATATTTTTAAAAAATTTATTAAATATATTTGATAATGGTCTCATTTTATTAAATATATTTTTAAAGGGATTGCCGATATTGTTTGAACGGTACAAATTTTATAAAAATAAATTTCTATATTAAAAGTAATACATATTTTGTCAAAATAAAACAAAATGCAAAAAATGAAAGGAAGAAAAAAAAAAACTGACGTGATATAGAGAAAGGAGAAAATGTATTAGATAAAGAAGCATTAGAGGGAGAGAAAACGTGTTAGGAAAAGAGAGAGAGAGATGACAAAAAATAGTGTTGGAAGAAAAAGACAAGATAGAAGAGAAGCATCACAAAGATAGAGATGACAAAAGAGAGTGTCTAGAGAGAATAGAGAGACGAGAGAAGACAACGACAAAAGAGACAGAGTAGCGTTACAAAGAGAGAAATGACAGAAGTGAAACTGCTGAGTGAGAAGAAAAAGACAAGAGAGAGAGGGAGACGTATTATTAGGGCTGCAAACGAATTGAGCTGTTCATGAACAACTCGAGTTCGACTCGTTTAAAATTTGTTTGAGCTCGACTCGTTCACTAAATACAATCTCGAGGTGAATTTTTATGCTTGTTTATTAATCAAGCCGAACTTGAGTAGCGCTAAGTTTGGCTCGACAAGACTCGTAAACATAAAATATATATATATATATATATATATTTATTTTTAATAATATATTAAATAAAATTTTAATAATCTATTTTATTTTTTATTTATGTTTGGTGTTTGTGTAAATTTACATATTTGATTGATAAAATTTATTATTAATATAAGTATTATTATATATTTAACTCATAATTTTATATTTTTTTTATTTTAATAAGTAAATTAATTTAAATTTAATTTTTTTTCAAGCTGGACGGGCTTGTTTATGTAATCGAGCGAGCTCGAGTTCAACAAATATTTTGACGAGCCAAGCTTAAGCTCAATTTTTTAAGCTCAACTTAAGTTTGAGCTCGAAATCAACTAATTCTTAATAAACAAGCTTAAAGATTCAAAAGTTCGATTTGATTCGACTCATTTGCAGCATTACAAAGAGAGGTGAGCATTACAAAGAGAGATGACAGAAGAGGTGGAGTGTTCATAGAGAAGAAAAAGACAAAAGATAGAGTAGAGAGAAGCATTAGAAAGAATAACATAAGAGGAGTGAGGGAGAGATAGAGAGAGAGTGTGTATGAGTCACGCTGGTGAAGATAGGAAAGTTAGAAAGAGACAAATGAGAGAAAGGGTTAAAAATTAATAAATCCATTTTTACGTAATTAGTTTTATAAAAATCATTTGTGCTGTAATTTCAAAAATAGTTCTTCTAACATGTAAATATCAGCCCCAAATGCCACTGCATGATGCTTGTCAAAGAAAAAATAACACTTTTTTCTTTATCTTCTATCCTCAATTATCCAAGTAAGAAAGAATAAACCTTTTTTTATTCACTCCTTAGAAAGAAAGAGGCAAGGGTAGAGAATTCAATGCCCTAATTGATATGTTTAATGAGATGTCCTACTAGTCCAACACATCAAGGCTTTTAAGTCCCTTTATACATAAAATTTTATGAATAACATAATAACGAGTCCAATACATTAATTTTTTAAAACATATTTCCTTACTTTTATATTGTACTTTGGTTAGGGCAAAAGGAAGACTAATGAATAAAAATAAAAAATGTCAAATTTTGTTACATGAACCCACTATTTTCTTACTTTCCCAAGACAATCACATTTTCTTACTAATTTTAAACTTTTCTTCCTCTCTATTCTCCCTCTCTCACCCATCTTTGAAAACCAAATACAGCAATAAGAAACAAACAAAAGTATTTGAAAATAAACAAGTAAATAAAAATACAAGATTGTATAGGTTACAACCTTCCATGGAGCCGTATATTGCTTTTAGAAATCTAGTAAAACACATAAAATGCTTACTACATGCAAATGTCTTACAGACATGTTTCAATCGGCATTGGGCAATCCACTGTTTGATTGTGTTTTCCTTTTCTTCGTTTTCATTTCTCATTTTTGTTCTTCATATTTTAAAAAGCAAAAAAAAAAACAAAGCTAGATTTGAAAACAAACTTCTAAAATTCAAAAACAACTTGTGTTCCTCTAATGCTAGATTTGAACAACTATCTTTAACAGTAGAACCTGTACATTAATATAACATACACGAGGGGCCCCCCCAGCACGCGTGCGCGCGCGAGAGAGAGAGAGAGAGAGAGAGAGAGAGAGTATGCAAGCTAAATACTGCTGTGAATTTAAAGCAGGAGTAAAATAACTAATGCATTACATAACTTGAAAGGCAAAAAAAAAGCTTATCACCCAAATGCTATTGACCAACGATGAGTAGAATTGCCTCAGAATTTTGTCAAAAGCAAAAAAAAGCCATTGATATGTCAATTTACAAACAGCTAACGAAAAAAAAAGTACGCATGTGAGTGCCACAGCTTCATCAAGAATCCTGTTTTATAATTTCACCCAGAAGGGGTTTCAGATGACTGACCACTCAAAGCAGAATTTGAGAGGACGGAAGGTAAAGCACCATTTTCTTCAGGCACCATTCTACTGCCAACGCACTCTGGCTCTGCATCAGATGGCTCGATCACATGGACTGCACCATTGCTCATTCCAAGAGCGATTTGGTTAGGTTCAAATGGATGTGCTGCAATCACCACAGGAAATCCACTGCCCTTGTTGCTGCAGAATTGATAGGTATGGTTACATGATTAAGCCACAGATATACATAATACAGAAAATGTACAGATCAACTGACTTATAAAAAGAAACAGTTTTTCTTCAGGCTCAATTTGATTAGAATGAAAACGGTATGAAGTGAGAGAAAAAATGAAACTTTTTATGAATTTGTTTAGCATGAAAGTGGTGAATATTACAAAAAAGTTAATTTTCTTGTACAATCCATATTAACATGGTAACTAGCTTCTTAGTTTCTTGCAAAAAACATAGGAAAATAAAAAATAAAAAAGAATCAATGGAAGAGGTTAGTTAAAATTCCAAATTTCTCACTTTTTTTTTTCCTTGCAAAATTTCATCCTAATCAAATGCTTGTAAGAAATTTATTCTCGTTTCTTTTTCTTTTCTTTCACTTAGCTTTCTATCACTTTCACTTAATACTATTTTTTCTTTCTAGTCAAACTTACACATTATAAAACTACCCTCACAAAAAGTTGGATAAGCTCAATATTTTAGTGAATCACACAGCGAAGGAGCACACACCAATAATCAATGTCCCACAGTTGTCTCAAGGGCTTCTAAATTACTTCTCATTTGGTTTATCACCAAGGATTTTTTCTTTTAATATATTGCATATATGTCGAAATCATCAAAATAATCTTTTTTTTTGTTTTGATAAATATCATCAAAACATTCTTTTACGGCTAGTCTTAATGAAAAGTCGCGGTAATAATGGTGAAGTCAGCAAAACTTTCGTAATGACACACACGCAGCACCTGAAACAAAACAAAAAGGGTAGTTTCCCTAAATTGTATCTCATCATGGAACAAAAGGATGATGAAATTTAAATTTCTCTAGCCTGTTGGATGGAAGAGAAAGTGAAGAGAACAAAATCAAATTTTTTTCGAAGTATACATCCATTCAGCATATTGAAAAAGAAAATAAAAGAAAAAGCTATTAGCTTATCAGGTTAGCGCACCTGGCAATGGGTGAAGAAGATATATACGCAGATGGTGCTATCCAACATCGAAGCCTGAAATTGTCTGCATCAAAAACTCCTATAGCACCATCCAAAAATCCAGTGAAGACCACAAGACCATCACATGAGTATATTGCAGTTGAAATGGGAGCAGAAAGCGAGTCTCTAGGATACCACTGCAAGAGGGTCTATTGGTTAACAAATATAAAAGAAAAATACATAGAAACACATGAATCAAAAAATATCCACATATGTATAGTTTTTAATATTCACCAACAGCATAACAAATCCTTGATGCACGAAAGAAATCATTAGTCAAACAATTGCAATTTAAACTAAAATTTCACAATGCAGATCCTAGTGTTGTTGATTATTAACTCAACCACTGGGAAAAAAAAAAAAAAAGCAGCTATGATAAGACAATAACATGTTGATTATTAATTCAACTACTGTAAAAAAAGTACTGTTAAGACAATGACTAGGATCAGCAGATTCAGCATGCTATGGATATCCTCTAATGCAAAAAGAGTTGATAGCTCCTTGACATGTTAAAAGACTTGGTGTTTCACCTCATCAACCCGAACACTGTATATTTGAGTAGTAGAATCCTCCATTCCTACGGCACAGAAATTGTTGTCATGTGGATCAAACGCCAAGCAGGTTGCTGCTGGAGGTGGAGGCATGAAAGTTGTCATAATCTGGTAAGAAATTACCAGTTCCATTTAGTCATATAAAACTTTTATAAGCAAAAGTTGCAGAGCCATCGGCAATCCCGAACCAAGAACAACGAAAAACAAATTCAAAGATAATCTCATCAATAATTTAATAAGTAAAAGACTGGGGTTGTGTTTGGATCATGGATTTTGGTAGGAATTTAAAAAGGGAAGGGAAGGGAAAGGAAAGGAAAGGAAAGGAGAAAGGCGAGAGAAATGGAGAAAAAATTTAGCTTATTACATTTCCCTCACCTTTTCCTTTCCCTTTCCAAACCTCCACCCAAATCTATTATCCAAACACAGCCCAGAAGTACAGCTACTAACCTTAAATGTTATCATGTTGAACAAAGAGACCTTCCCACCAGAGGCAGATAAGAGATAAGAATCATTTTTAGTTGCAGGCTGCCACAACTCTGGCTTAATAGATGCAGAAGACTGACAACACAGAGAAAAGCCATCAAAATTGGATTGACTAAAAACTATATTAAAAAAATGGAATGATTGAAAAACATATATGCTCAAATACTAACTTTCCCAGATGGATTATGTTCAGTACGCTGCCATTTCCAGAGCTTATGCATGGTATCAGAGGCAAGTGCCAGCAGAGCTACCCCAGAATTAGTGTAGAGTAGTTGGACAACCTATGGCCCATGACACATGATACATCGCACTTAGTTCAAGCCAGATAAAGATGGCTATGGGGAGAGAGCAAAAATAACAAGCATACTTAAATATATGGGTAAATTACACTAACCTCCCTTAAGGTTTTGAAAAAGTACATCGAGCCCAACAAGTTTTACATAATTTCACTGGGCTCCCTGGAGTTTTTAATTCACATAACACTTTGCCCCCCTTTTCATTAGTAATTTGGTAGTCATATGAATGGGGAAAAAAACAAAGATATTTTCATATCTTTTATACTGAAATGTATATTTACCCTTGTTTATCGTTGTGTTTATACGCCATCTGTATTAGTTCTAGTTGCTTTAGCTTTACTAAAAGGGAAGTCGATGTAATTATGCCAAACTTGTGGGTCATACTGTATTTTTTCTAAACTCCAAGGGTGGTGCAGTGAGGACGAATGCCTCAATAAACAAGACACCTTAAGCATGCCATGATGAAACTGGACACAGTATTTCGCACATCACTAAAATGGTTGTGAAAAAATCACAAAATAATTAAGATATATTTTCTCAATAAAAAGCAGATTTCTTTTAAAGAAATTGGGACTGCATATTTGGATAAATCAGATCTCGACAGGTATCTTTCTAGAACGTACCTTGCTTGCCAGCAAAGGATCAGCAACTGTACAGCCTTTAGTTGAGATGAGTCAGCTAAATAAAGATTTAAAAAGAAAAATTGTCTCACTATCCTCCACTCTTTATTTTCTTATCACTTTTTTGTGCACATTTCTGCCCCTTTCTTTGGCAAGTATTTTGCTTTTATGAGATCACAGTGCATCTAGAGAGGCCAAAGGTCCTTCAGTGTAGTTTTACTATACTGAATAAAACAATATGCTTTTGCCAATGCATCTGTCCCTATTGAGATGATCTGGGGATATGAAATGGGAATGCTTAAGATAAGTACAAGCGAGAAACGAAATTGTCAGATTCTCATCGGGAGGTTTATTCCATTTCATCTCAGACTGAAGGTACATCCAACTTTTAGTTCATTCTCTAAAAGAAACATGTGCACTGAGCAGCAACAACTGCGAACATAACTCTTTAATCAGGTAATCCATTCAGTTCCATAGCTAACTATAGTAGGATGTCAATAGCAGCTTAGCATGGAAAAAACTAGGCTCTGGTTAGTTTATGGTAGGAATTGACAAGTAGAATTTAGGCATGAGGCAATATCAGGACACGAATAGGATGCACCATTCAGAACCACCTCATTGTTAGTGTATGAAGGAAACAGTTAAGATTTTGGGTCTAGAGCATAAGAACTAAGATATTTATTGTCACTTTTTTATGTCTTCAACTTTCCATTAAGTGTGATGTATGAAAACTATAACTTTTACTCAATTCCATTCTGCCATGAAGTTATCTCCAAGATGATAAATATGGTCGTCATGATTGTGTCGATTTGGGTAGGGGAATTCAATGGCGAATCGCTCCCACTCTATGGAGATAGATAAATATGACTTAATGTGGGTAATCGTATCTGGTTTGGCCGGAACAATGTGATCTGGGAAGATGGTCAGTAGGCACTTAGCAGACGCAAGATCACAGGAGGTGGAGGAGGAGAAAGAAAAGGCACTCTTAGAAGAGAGAGGGTGGCAGTGGAGATCTTATGAAGCGGAGAGACTATCTGGAGATAAGAATTGATGGCTTGATGATTACTTGGGGGAGGACTCCTTATATAGGGGAAGTTGGAGTAGATCCCATTAGATAATTCCAAGAAGAGTTAGGGGATCTCTAGCATCACAGCATCATGCACCCGTGGTAGCAGGTACATCACGTGTCTTGACGGAACCTCTCATCAATTGGTCATGTGTTCCCAAGTGGGAACTTTGACAATCCCTCAACTCTAGCCTCGAAGCCACAAGTCCTCCTAGATCCCGTGTAGAGATCCTAGGCCATGCTCCCGACCTAGGTTATTCCAAAACTAAGTATAGGTTGGAGACCGATCGCGGGTGGAGCTGTAAGGTATAAATCCACAGATTGTATATCTCACATGACCAATCTGATTTGTAGTTCGGTGGTGGAGTCAGATCTGACATCTGAGATATGGGGATGAGATCTTACATGTAGATCATGGAGATTCTTGAGCACGCTTATGATGCCGTGTTAAGGCCACACACATAGTGGAGATGGACCTATGTACCTACACTTCTAACAACAAAAAGCCACTGTGTATTCTCTCTGATTCTATGCTCTCAATATTTCCTTCCAATTTACCATCAAAGAACCATCCTAGAATACCTAAAAGATGGTTTACAGTTGTGAACCAACTATTATCACATCAGAAGTGCATAACCAACACAGGAAGAATAGCATTCATGTCCTTTGTGATAATTTTAAACTCCTCTAACGTGACCACAAAGCACTAGTAATGGCTTTAGAATGATTGATAAAGGTGGATATACTGTAAAAATAGAGATATAATCAGGACACCGGTAAGTGGTAAATTCAGTTTGCTTCTGCGAAACAATAAAACAACAGGAGTCGAAAACAAAAAATATGATTTGTAATGATAGAATCATGTTCCTAACATATAACATGTCGAACTTTTTTTATGAACAGGTGGCGATCCCCATTATTTAAAAAAAAGTTCAAACAATAACAGAACTCAACATAAAAACAATGAGACAGACTTACTGACTGCAAGCATCCGAGCTGGCTATCATAAACAGCAATTTGGCTTTCATGGACCACTAATAGATGGGTTTGATCATTATGGAATTGAACTTTAGTTTCTCCAACCAGGGGAGAAGGGTGGCCAGGTGGTGCTTGTATGGGCCTTGCTTTCTTCTTTTCCCATCCTTCAGTGTCCCAGATGCATAGCTGCAATACAAATCGAGCATCAAGCATTGTAATGAAATTATGTATATGGCATTTCATCAGAAGGTATAAATGATTCCAGATGAAAAAATAAGAAGAAGAAGAAGAAGAAATCTCAATTAGTCTGACACTTACCTGAGCATCAGCCCCAGCTGATACCAATATATCCAAAGTCTGGGAAAATGCAAGCCCCGTGATTTGTTTCTGGTGACCCTTGAGCTTGGCTTTTACCTACCAAATGGGTCAAAAGTAAATTTAAAAGATCCAGAATTCAGTAATATCGTCCTTAAGCAATCGATTATGTTCAAAACCCAATTATGCCTAATCACATCTCTTAACACAACACACACAAGCACACAGTATAGTTGTTTAATATTCACCAAGAGCATAACAAATCCTCGATGCATGAAAGAAATCATTAGTCAAACAATTGCAATGTAAACTAAAATTTCACAATGCAGATCCTAGTGTTGTTGATTATTAACTCAACCACTGAAAAAAAAAAAAAAAAAAAAAAAAAAAAAAAAGCAGCTATGATAAGACAATAACTTGTTGATTATTAATTCAACTACTGTAAAAAAAAGTACTGTTAAGACAATGACTAGGATCAGCAGATTCAGCATGCTATGGATATCCTCAAATGCAAAAAGAGTTGATAGCTTTAAAAGACTTGGTGTTTCACCTCATCAACCCGAACACTGTATGTTTGAATAGTAGAATCCTCCATTCCTACGGCACAGAAATTGTTGTCATGTGGATCAAACGCCAAGCAGGTTGCCGCTGGCGGTGGAGGCATGAAAGTTGTCATAATCTGGTAAGAAATTACCAGTTCCATTTAGTCATATAAAACTTTTATAAGCAAAAGTTGCAGAGCCATCGGCAATCCCAAACCAAGAACAACAAAAAACAAATTCAAAGATAATCTCATCAATAATTTAATAAGTAAAAGACAGGGGTTGTGTTTGGATCATGCACTACAAGAAAATCAAGTTTTAGCAGCATTTTTTTTTGCAGCGGCCCGAAAAATGCTGCTATAAATGGGCTATTGTGATGGTTGTTGACCGCCATTACAAATAAAACTTTTAGCTACATTTTTTTCTTAAAGCGCTGTCATATATTTTTTTGTAGTGACGGTTTTAACACAACCGCTACAATAAGCCAAGCAAAATAAAGGCGCCAAACAAATTCTAATTTCGCGCTTATCCGAATTATTTTTTTTGGTGAATAACATATCAGAATCAATCCCAAAAAACCGTTCAACTCCTTGATTTCAATTTTGTGCCCTATAGTCTATCAACACTTCTTTCACGAAGTATCATTGCGCCTTTGTTCATCCTCCACCGATGTATCGACGACGTCAAGCTACAGCACCACTGTGATTTCAAGGTCAGTCTGCTCTCTCTGTTTCTCTTTCTCTACCCCTCTCATTCTTCTGGTCTCTCAGTTTCTCTCTCTACCCATCTCTCTTTCTTCTTGTCTCTCAGATTCTCCTTTTCTGCTTTCACTGTCTTCGAACAAGTTTGGGTACTTGCCATTCCATTTATATTGCTTCTAATATCTCCAAAATTTCTCTATTATGAAGGATTTCGTGAACATGTTGAATGATTTTGATTTGGGAAAATAATTTAGAAAATAGATTGAACATGTTCTGTATTCTGATTATGATATTCACACATACACACACACATAATATATATATTTGATCATCTATGACATTCATATTTTAACCAATATAATTAGTGAAGTGAAATCTCATGCTTCTAATTATGAATAGCACTGAGGAATCATTATGTATGCTAGGTATTTGACAAAATGCCACAATGGAGTAATAGTGCCTATCCTTTTCTTTATTGGTTTGTTCTGTTTTTCTGTTTTTGTTTTTGTTGAGAAAATTGTTGTTCATGAATTTAATGCACAGTTTGTAATGTTTTATTGGCTTAATAATGTGATTAGAGGAAATTCAACATTTATGTACGCCATTTTTTTGTTGAATCTAAAGACACAATTCTTGAAGGAAGTTACCAGCCATTCCCATATCACTAAAGACCTCTAGTGCTTCCAATATATGGCTTCTTTGCATTGCATAAAAAATGTATCAGTATTTACTTGAAACTAACATGAACATGCATACATCTACCTTCTTAAGCTTTAATAGCCAAACTGAAACAACAGAAAGTAAGAGACATTTTCATAATATAGCATTCAAAAATCAAATTATGACATCCATTTTCTGTTGTCTAGGACCTCCTTACAAACATTACAAGTCAAAACATTTTATTGAATTACAAGTATCCAAGCCCATGTTCCTCAAAGCATTTGAAGTAAGGAGCATTGTGGCAGTAGTTTCAACTGTAGACATTATGTCCATGTGCTTCCCTTTCAGCAAGAGGAAAATTTTAAAAAAAAAATTAAAGAGAATAGAGAAAAATATATATATTGGTTGCCAACCTGATACATGCTAAGAAATATATATAGGCCATCCTAAGAAATATTTAAGATTTTTTAGCCTTTTAGGGTATGTTTTTTACATAAAAGAAGTTTAGAAATTTCTTTAGAACCAATCTCAGATTATTTTCAAAAATTTACATAAAGATCAAAAGTCCTTGTTGATGCCAAAAAAAAGTACTTCAGAGCACAAACACACTAGGACTAAATCTTACCATTTATCCATGTGCATGCACAAACACACTGCTGCTATTATGTTTTAGTGTTGCAATGGAATTTTTTGTGACTGAATTTATTGCTGGAACAGAGAAGAAACAGAGCTTGCTTTTATTTTGTACACTACTATATTTGGTTGGACTTGATTGAGCTTGCCCCCACCTTTCATTCATGTATTGTTGCTGTAATTGTACGCTTATGATTTATCAATAAAGATCTTTTTCTTTTGCTGATTTAAAAAAAAAATGCTCATTTAATTTGATTAATATGTTAGTTTTTTATTTAAAAAAAGTACTATGATGAGACAAAGACAGAAGCACAAAAAGTAGCTACTGCGCCTTTAACGGTCAACCGTGAGCACTATGTTGACCTTGTCGTTTATTGGTTTTCAAAGGAAGGACAGGTATGCATAGATGTATGTTTTCTATCAAATAATACAATGTCATTATATCATTTTTTTTTAACATACTCCCTAAAAATGGGCCCATTAAATAAATAAATTGAACAAAAATTGATTTCGTGGTTTATGTCAAATTTGATAAAGGATGTTAAATGTCAAATAAGATTTTGATATTTTTCTTAGAGCTTCCAACACTTTCTCACATGTCATTTTAGATTTACATTATCCTTAAACCCTTGAAGATGCTCTGACATTGTAAATAAACTGTTGACTTTTAAAAAGTACTATGATGAGACAAAGACAGAAGCACAAAAAGTAGCTACTGCGCCTTTAACGGTCAACCGTGAGCACTATGTTGACCTTGTTGTGTATTGGTTTTCAAAGGAAGGACAGGTATGCATAGATGTATGTTTTCTATCAAATAATACAATGTCATTATATCATTTTTTTTTTTAACATACTCCGTAAAAATGGGCCCATTAAATAAATAAATTGAACAAAAATTGATTTCGTGGTTTATGTCAAATTTGATAAAGGATGTTCAATGTCAAATAAGATTTTGATATTTTTCTTAGAGCTTCCAACACTTTCTCACATGTCATTTTAGATTTACATTATCCTTAAACCCTTGAAGATGCTCTGACATTGCAAATAAACTGTTGACTTTTTGTGTTGATGGATAATGATTATTGACTGAATAATTGTTAATAATATAATATAATTGGTTGGAGCATAATGAGATAGATGTCACAAGTAACATCCTTGTCTTGAGTAGTCATCTCTTAAACAGAGGTTGCTGCTATTTATTGAATGATGTTGTTGTTGTATGATTTTTGGGTTCAGGGGGTTTGTGGCCGTAGTTGCATTTTGTTTGGCTCTATAGGGTGGTTTTGTTTATAATGTATTTTTTTTGTGGTTATGTTGGTTGTGATTGTGATGTTTTTGTGTTAGGATTTGTTAGTTAATTGGTTTTGTATTGCAAAATTGGCTGATGATTAGTTTTTGCGTGGTTGGTTTAGCATTTGTTTGGCTTGAGTGTTTCTATCAATTTAGTCGGGATTCACTAAGCGCTTATGCTATTTTACCTTAGCTTCCTCTTTTGATGTAATTATGTTCTACTCTTTATAACATCAATAACATTTTCCTTTTGCTGAAAAAAAAAAAAAAGGCTACCAGTGGTTTTCTTAGAGGTGTTAGAAGGTAAAAAACAATGTAGTTCTATATATCAACTCGTGTTTTGTAGTTTAATAATATTGTATTTGGAGACAATGACATATATATACTTCTTTAACATTTGTCATTAGAAGTACTTCACTAAAAACATTGGCCACCAGTGGTTTTTGATTTTGTGTGTCAACTCAACATATCATACCTGGGTTTTGTATTTTTATTCTCTATTTTGACGTGCTTAAGATATATCTTTTGGATTTATGAGTGAAGGAACTTAGTACGACCAATAAGGAAAGCCGGCGAGAGCAAACAAGTGCACAAGCAGCAGGATTTAAAATTTATGCACAACATGCATATGATATGGTATTTCAAACTTCATTCCTTGTTTTATATTTTCAATTTGGTCAGTACATTGTATAATGATTTTATTCTCAAATGATATGATTGTTACATAGGAACAAAAAGATAAGATTGCTCTAGATCGAGCAAAACTATATATACTGCTTCACAAAAGGAAGGATGGGACACTAGTCAACAAAGAGGCAGCTACAAAAATTGTATGCACACCTAATAATTTACATTTTCAAAATTGTAATGTGTTTGTGGCAAATAATCGCTCTCACTCTTTGTATTCTTCATATTTTTTTTCCCAATTATGTTTTTGAAAACATTAGATGATTTGAAAACACTAGATCTTCAGCCCCTTCCCTGCAGCTGCTAAGTATCAAGTGATGCCCACACACCTGTTATTCATACATGCTCTGTCCTGTTTAGAATATTGCACCCCTTTCAGATTGTATTTTCTCCAAATTGCTATCCTCACTTTGACCAATTCTTTTAATTCATCCCAATCTACTTGCCTACCATTGAATAGGCAGTCATTTCTAGCTCCCAAATTGACCACATCATTGTTAAGGGAACTAGTTTCCAATTTTTGAGAACCAACTGTTTGAATTTGGTGCCTACCCACCATTGAAGAAGCCCCTCTACAACAATGCTTTACATATATGTTTGTACCAGGTAAAAAAGAACTTCATTGATGAAAAAATCATATATAACATATGTTAGTACATCAATAAAAGGGGAGGAGTGTAAAGGGCATCATGTAAGCCAACATTATCGCAACTAGATTGACACCACGAGGCCTACCTAATCATTTGTTAGCACCCCTCAACATTTGTAAGACACCAATAACAGCTACCAAAAAATAGGGAAATAAAACAGAGCTACCACCATCAATGGAGCTTGCACAACTGGTACTAAGCTATCTATCTATATATGCATTATAGCTTGTTGATTCTATCTGTTACTATATAAAGTTTGGTTCTTGGTAGTGTTGAATAAATTGTTATGTAGTTATGAAGGGTTATCTTAATTTTTTTGGTTAATTCTATTATTGATATTGCTTTTTTAAATGTTTGAATAATCAGAATCATATATATGTTCTAGTTCTTAGATTGAACATAAAATAAATTTGCTATAAAATAATTAATCCCTAGAAGATCAATTTTCATGAGTGTCTAGTGAAAGAGATATGGAGTAATGCTCCAAGACCAACAAATAATCATTCATCTATGTTGTATTATGTGATTTATAGATTTTCAAATTGAAAATGATACTTATGCTCATTCAATCATTTTTATTGCAGGAAACAAGACAATATGAAAGCATCAAAATGGAAATCGTTTTTCATTGCAGGAAATAGAGCAATATGAAAGCATCAAAATGGACGTCATTACTCGATTTGAACATTTTTCATGGAGGTCTTTATAAAATGGCATCTTGAGTAATACTTTTAAGTATTATTGTCACATGACAACTTTATATGTACCTTTTGGAGTATGGTGTAGCTATTAGTTTGTTAGAAACATTTGATCTATTTTGATATGACAAACTTATGTAATGAACCTTTTCATTAAGATGTTTTGAATATTTTGAGATTATGAAATGCAAACTCTTTTACCTTTTAGAATTATTGAGTGTTGAGCTATTAGAATAACATAGTGCATTTATAGATATATAATGGTGATTATGTAAGTAGGGATAAGTGGGAGACACTAATTAACGGTTAGCAAACCATTGAAAATTTCAATCTATATATTATTGGTAATTGAATAGGAAAACATAGCCCATAATTGCGATTAATAACCGTCGTTACAAATAAAATTCAAAAAAATTCTATGGCTATAGCGACAGTGTAAAATTGATGGAATAGAGTCAAAATATGGTAGCAATGGACAAAATGTCACAAAAGCAAATGTTGTAGCAATAGTCAAACCGTCGCTATAAAGGTATATAAGCAATGGGTAAATTTGAGATATATTGACGTTTACAACTGTCGCTACATCAACCGTCGCAAGAAAAATATTTATACCAGCGGTTGAGAAAAGTGTCACAATAAACCTATGCTGACGGGGCTATTGCGGCGGTTTGGCGGTAAGAAATTACCAGTTCCATTTAGTCATATAAAACTTTTATAAGCAAAAGTTGCAGAGCCATCGGCAATCCCGAACCAAGAACAACGGAAAAACAAATTCAAAGATAATCTCATCAATAATTTAATAAGTAAAAGACAGGGGTTGTGTTTGGATCATGGATTTAAAAACTATATTAAAAAAATGGAATGATTGAAAGTCCTTGCATTACTGCATATATTACCTGCCCAGATAATTGAAAGTCTGTCCTTTCCATGGCGTTAAACTCTTCAACCTTCTGTGCTTCGTCTTCTGGTGCTGCTTCCACTTCATCAATGTTTGCTTCCTAAAACCAAAAAGCATAAAATAAAATAAGATACGACAAAGCTATTAAATATTTTGTTTCAACAATAACGCACCATGATCACTAACCTTGCAGTTGCAGTCGCAGTAGCGAATGGCCGCGGTTAGCATCTTATTCCTCTGCTCGGCAGTCATGTCACTGTAATACGTATTACAGTCGTTCACTGACTTTACAACATCACCGCCATTCACTGACTTTACACCATCACCGCCATTCACTGGCTTGTAACAACCAGTGAAGCACTTCTTCACCTTACGGATGAACGACTTCCCGAAGCGAGAGATTTTCATGGAGAGAGAGAGGAGGGGTGGAATTTTGTGTGAGAATACACGGTAGGTATGTATGGCATAATGGTTATATATAGCATACATGGTTATATTAGGAATACACGGTATATTTTTCGCTAATTCCTTACAGAGAAGACTGATTGGCGGGGGGTGTGTTTGGGTTCCTTCCCAACCCCGCTTATATCGGCATTGAGTTTGATTTTTCCTGCACAAGGAGGGCACCAATTGAGCGTGTTTATGCGTGTATGTGTGCTGCTCAAAACAGAAGTGTTCAATTGCTATTTATTATTAAAGATGACCAAATTATATTTTCACTCATACAACTAATAAATTATTAATAAAAAAAATTTAAATTAAAATATTAAAAATCAATCATTTGGTTGGTTTCAATTTTTTGAAAATTGAGTTTCTTACTTTTCGTTTTTTTTTTTTGTTTTTAGTTAATATTTTTAAAATTTTAAGGAATTTTTTTACTTTTTTAAATGCACTTTACTTGGATGTATCTAAAAAGTAAAATATTTTCAAAAAAAAAAAAATTAAAATCAATAAATATACAAGAATACAAAAAGTATATTGAATTCTTATATATATATATTTATATTTTCGATATTTAGCGAATTTTGTAAAGATATTTTTCACAAATTTATACCTTTTAAGTGTATTTATGTTAAGTGTATATAAAAATTTTAAAAAAAAAAATTGTTTAGAATATTAAAAAAAAATCAGTAAAATAAAAATAAAAAAAAAATAATTTTTTAAAACGTGAATCCTAAAGATCCAAACCAAACAAGCAAATGGTATTATGCTAAATGTGTGAATGCGACTAACTGTATTTTCTTTTAGGGTTGAGCTTTTCTTCGATCCGTGTTCGGACTGAAGGATACTGTTGAGCTCATGGGGCTCACCACGAGTCCAGTTTTGATAATCTAAACCGTTCAATATGTACAACTCGTCAAGTACTATATGCTTGTAAAAAACCACTTTGATCGATATCGATAGCTATCTTATCGAATCAGATTTCTTTCAACCGTTTATCTTTTCACAATATTTTTTTTTATACAAAATTGATTTGATCACGTAACAATTGATATCCGATCATCGTGATTGTTTGTTGGCATATAGTACTCGATGAGTTCTACACATTTAACAGATCAAATTATCTACACAGGACCTGTAATAAGTCCCCACAGGCAGGACCGACCTTGAGATTTAGGGGGTCCAAGGCAAATTTCAGAAATTGGACCCTTTTACACAGGACCTGACTCATGCCAGAGGCCACATGTCCGTCATCACCAAAGTTGCCTCGGTTCCGGAACTTAGGTACGAGAAGGGAAGGTCCTGAAATGAGCACCCTTGTTTACCTGACCAAAAGATCGGCCTCTACTAAGCGTGATATGTTTCTTTATAAACACACGTGTTCTTATTCTGGCTATTTAGCTAACATTATTATGTGGCGTGCACGCATACAAGTATGGACTAAGTCGCGAGACTCGAAACAAATTAACTCATGTTTGTTTTCGAAAATGGTTTGAAAGTGCCATCCCTCAAGTGGGCTAAAGCACAGATTTGCCATCAAACATGATGGGCTTAAAACATGATTTGCCATTTCGCAAAGTGGGCTTAAAACTCACAATCATCGAATTGTTCCAATTCAAGCAACAAAGCCTTCACCCACAGGCATTCATGCAGTTAATTAAGTAAGCGCATAGCCTCATAGCAAGCATGCGAAACATGACAATATGACACTTATGCAATATGTTAAAGCATAAAACTTACAGTGTACTCCAAGCCAAAATAATAGCTAGTTAGAAAAATGCATGATTCCTAACTATACAAAATGCCTACTGCAACGCATGCACTAATGGAATTAAATAGGCTCGGCTAACTAAGATGGCATATGAATGCAATAATTTGATAACATGCTGTGAGACACGTATTTAAAGAAATATTGAAATACGATGCAGTTTGAATGATGCGCCGAGCCCGGTGCATGCAATACAAATGAATGGATGCAAACATGCAAGCATGAGGTATGCTAATCAAAACGTGATCCATAATCTAACCATCGAAAGCGGATAAATAAAAGGGAGAAAGACGTGGGGTTGGAAGACACGCACACACACACGCACACTTATTACAACATTGCGCCCTCTCGAAGGAGGGTCCAAATAATTAAGCTAAGCTACACTAAGCTAAGCTAATTATTACAACACAACTAATTAACTATTCTAGCTAATTAATCATTACAAACCAAATTGAATAACTAGCTACGCTAGGCTAAGCTAATTAAGATATTACAAAACAAATTGAATAATTAGCTACTCTAACTAATTAAAGCAATTAAATGGCCTCACAGGCGAGGGAGACATGCATGCTCAGTTGGCGTCCCCCGAAAATCCATTGCCTTGCCACCGGTTGCCTCTGTTTGCACTTGTCGTGATCTCCGAACACCGCACAAACTTCCAGATTGCCTTTGCTCCAACACATGAACACATTGGACAACCTTTGCACTGGTGGCCGGTTAGCTACTGCAAGTGGCCGGTCGGCTACCTCACCTGGCCTGCCGGCTAGTGCAATGTCAAAAAAGGAAGGAAGAGAAAAAACTGACGTGAGATAGAGAAAGAAGAAAATGTATTAGATAAAAAAGCATTAGAGGGAGAGAAGCGCTTTAGGAAAAGAGAGATAGAGAGAGGGATGACAAAAAAAAGTGTTAGAAGAAAAAGACGAGATAGAAGAGAAGCATCACAAAGATAGAGATGACAAAAGAGTGTGTCTGGAGAGAATAGAGAGACGAGAGAAGACAAAGACAAAAGAGAGAGAGAGGGTAGCGCTACAAAAAGAGAAATGACAGAAGTGAAAGTGTTGAGTGAGAAGAAAAAGATGAGAGAGAGAGAGAGAGACATGTTATTAGGGCTGGAAATGAACTGAATTGTTTATGACTAGCTCGAGTTTGACTCGTTTAAAACTTGTTTGAGCTCGACTTGTTCACTAAATACGATCTCGAGGTCAATTTTTATGCTCGTTTATTAATCGAGCCGAGCTCGAGTAGTGCTAAGCTCAGCTCGACAAGACTTGTGAACATAAAAAAATATATATATATATATTTTATTTTTAATAATATATTAAATAAATTTTTAATAATCTATTTTATTTTTTATTTATGTTTGGTACTTGTGTAAATTTACATATTTGATTGATAAAATTTATTATTAATATAAGTATTATTATATATTTGACTCATAATTTTATATTTTTTTTTATCTTAATAAGTAAATTAATTTAAATTTAATTTTTTTTTTCAAGCTGAACCGGCTTATTTATGTAATCGAGCAAGCTCGAGTTCAACAAATATTTTGACGAACCAAGCTTGAACTCAATTTTTTAAGCTCAGCTCGAGTTCGAGCTCAAACTCAACTAATTTTTAATAAACAAGTTTAAAGATTCAAAAGTTCGATTCGATTCGATTCGATTCGATTCATTTACACCCCTAAGCCTTACAAAGAGAGATGACAGAAGAGATGGAGTGTTTATAGAAAAGAAAAAGACAAAAGATAGAGTAGAGAGAAGCATTAGAAAGAATAACATCATAGGAGAGAGAGAGAGAGAGAGTGAGTACGTGTGAGTCACGTTGGTGAAGATAGGGAGGTTAGAAAGAGACAAATGAGAGAAAGGGTTAAAAATTAATAAATCCATATTTACGTAATTAGTTTTATAAAAATCATTTGTGCTGTAATTTCAAAAATAGTTCTCCTAACATGTAAATACCAGCCCCAAATGCCACTGCATGATGTTTGTCAAAGAAAAAATAACACTTTTTTCTTTATCTTCTATCCTCAATTATCCAAGTAAGAAAGAATAAACCTTTTTTTCTTCACTCCTAAGAAAGAAAGAGGCAAGGGTAGAGAATTCAAAGCCCTAGTTGATATGGTTAATGAGATGTCCTACGAGTCCAACACATCAAAGCTTTTAAGTCCACTTATATGTAAAATTTTATGAATAACATAATAACGAGTCCTTCCCATGGACTTAAGGCTTGATTTGGTTTATAACATAATAACGAGTCCAACACATTAATTGTTTTAAACATATTTCCTTACATTTATATTGTATTTTGGTTAGGGCAAAAGGAAGACAAAGGAATAAAAATAAAAAATGCCAAATTTTGTAACATGAACCCACTATTTTCTTACTTTCCCAAGACAAATCGCATTTTCTTACTAATTTTAACTTTTCTTCCTCTCTATTCTCCCTTTCTCACCCTTCTTTCAAAACCAAATACAGCAATAAGAAACAAACAAAAGTATTTGAAAATAAACATATAAATAAAAATACAAGATTGTATAGGTTACAACCTTCCATGGAGCCGTACATTACTTTTAGAAATCTAGTAAAACACATAAAATGCTTACTACATGAAAATGTCTTACAGACATGTTTTCCTTTTCTTCGTTTTCATATCTCATTTTTGTTCTTCATATTTTCAAAAGCAAAAATACAATGCTCGATTTGAAAACAAACTTCTAAAATTCAAAAACAACTTGTGTTCCTCTAATGCTAGATTTGAACAACTCTCTTTAACAGTAGAACCTGTACATTAATATAACATACACGAGGGGCACCCGCGCGCACAAGAGAGAGAGAGAGAGTGTATGCAAGCTAAATACTGCTGTGAATTTAAAGCAAAAGTAAAATAACTAATGCATTACATAACTTGGAAGGCAAAAAAAAAGCTTATCACCCAAATGCTATTGACCAACGATGAGTAGAATTGCCTCAGAATTTTGTCAAAAGCAAAAAAAGCCATTGATATGTAAATTTATAAACAGCTAACGAAAAAAAAATTACGCATGTGAGTGCCACAGCTTCATCAAGAATCCTGTTTTATAATTTCACCCAGAAGGGGTTTCAGATGACTGACCACTCAAAGCAGAATTTGAGAGGACGGAAGGTAAAGCACCATTTTCTTAGGGCACCATGCTACTGCCAACCCACTCTGGCTCTGCATCAGATGGCTCGATCACATGGACTGCACCATTGCTCATTCCAAGAGCGATTTGGTTAGGTTCAGATGGATGTGCTGCAATCACCACAGGAAATCCACTGCCCTTGTTGCTGCAGAATTGATAGGTATGGTTACATGATTAAGCCACAGATATACATAATACAGAAAATGTACAGATCAACTGACTTATAAAAAGAAACAGTTTTTCTTCAGGCTCAATATGATTAGAATGAAAACGGTATGAAGTGAGAGAAAAAGTGAAACTTTATACGAATTTGTTTAGCATGAAAGTGGTGAATATTACAAAAAAGTTAATTTTCTTGTACAATCCATATTAACGTGGTAACTAGCTTCTTAGTTTCTTGCAAAAAACATAGGAAAATAAAAATAAAAAATAAATAAAATAAAAAAAGAATCTATGGAAGAGGTTAGTTAAAATTTCAAATTTCTCACTTTTTTTTTTTCCTTGCAAAATTTCATCCTAATCAAATGCTTGTAAGAAATTTATTCTCATTTCTTTTTCTTTCTTTCACTTAGCTTTCTATCACTTTCACTTAATACTATTTTTTCTTTCTAGTCAAACTTACACACTATAAAACTACCCTCACAAAAAGTTGGGTAAGCTCAATATTTGAGTGAATCACACAGTGAAGGAACACACACCAATAATCGCTGTCCCACAGTTGTCTCAAGGGCTTCTAAATTACTTCTCATTTGGTTTATCACTAAAGATTTTTTCTTTTAATACATTGCATATATGTCAAATCATCATAACAATCTTTTTTTGTTTTGATAAATATCATCAAAACAATCTTTTACGGCTAGTCTTAATGAAAAGTCGCGGTAATAATGGTGAGCAAAACTTTTGTAATGACAAACACGCAGCACCTGAAACAAAACAAAAAGGGTAGTTTCCCTAAATTGTATCTCATCATGGAACAAAAGGATGATGAAATTTAAATTTCTCTAGCCTGTTGGATGGAAGAGAAAGTGGCGAGAGAACAAAATCAAATTTTTTTCAAAGTATACATCCATTCAGCATATTGAAAAAGAAAAGAAAAGAAAAAGCTATTAGCTTATCAGGTTAGCGCACCTGGCAATGGGTGATGAAGATATATACGCAGATGGTGCTATCCAACATCGAAGCCTGAAATTGTCTGCATCAAAAACTCCTATAGCACCATCCAAAAATCCAGTGAAGACCACAAGACCATCACACGAGTATATTGCAGTTGAAATGGGAGCAGAAAGCGAGTCTCTAGGATACCACTGCAAGAGGGTTTATTGGTTAACAAATATAAAAGAAAAATACACAGAAACACATGAATCAAAAAATATCCGCATATGTAGATGAACTGTCTCCATGTGGTCATCTTGTATATTGTGCTTGAAATGCAGTCAGTCCACAAAAGATGCATGAAGATGAAAGGTGGCAATAAAGCAGCTGACATTGGTGATGTCATGCAAACTTACAGCAGATGGAAAATCCGATCAACCACCCAATGCTGCACTTTTTGAGTCAAACATCAAGACAATAGCTACCTAAAAGGCTAACAGCAATTTAATATCCCATCGTCAAGAAAAACATTTAATAATAGCAACCATGAATGACAAAATAAATATACCTGTGCTGCTAAAAAGTTACTTAGCATGCTAAAGAAGTCTGATCAAATTTAACATTCCCTCAACAAATTATGATCCTCAAAGACCCTTTTAGCTAAATAAAAGATTTAAAAAGAAAAAATGTCTCACTATCCTCCACTCTTTATTTTCTTATCACTTTTTTGTGCACATTTCTGCCCCTTTCTTTGGCAAGTATTTTGCTTTTATGAGATCACAGTGCATCTAGAGAGGCCAAAGGTCCTTCAGTGTAGTTTTACTACACTGAATAAAACAACAAGCTTTTGACAATGCATCTGTCCCTATTGAGATGATCTGGGGATATGAAATGGAAATGCTTAAGATAAGTACAAGCGAGAAACGAAATTGTCGGATTCTCATTGGGAGGTTTATTCCATTTCATCTCAGACTGAAGGTACATCCAACTTTTAGTTCATTCTCTAAAAGAAACATGTGCACTGAGCAGCAACAACTGAGAACATAACTCTTTAATCAGGTAATCCATTCAGTTCCATAGCTAACTATAGTAGGATGTCAATAGCAGATTAGCATGGAAAAAACTAGGCTCTGGTTAGTTTATGGTAGGAATTGACAAGTAGAATTTAGGCACGAGGCAATATCAGGACATGAATAGGATGCACCATTCAGAACCACCTCATTGTTAGTGTATGAAGGAAACAGTTAAGATTTTGGGTCTAGAGCATAAGAACTAAGATATTTATTGTCACTTTTTTATGTCTTCAACTTTCCATTAAGTGTGATGTATGAAGACTATAACTTTTACTCAATTCCATTCTGACATGCCATGAAGTTATCTCCAAGATGACAAATATGGTCGTCATGATTGTGTCGATTCGGGTAGGGGAATTCAATGGCCAATAGCTCCCACTCTATGGAGATAGATATATATGGCTTAATGTGGGTGATCATGTCTGGTTTGGCCGGAACAATGTGATCTGGGAAGATGGTCAGTAGGCACTTAGCAGACACAAGATCACAGGAGGTGGAGGAGGAGAAAGCCGAGGCACTGTTAGAAGAGAGAGGGTGGCAGTGGAGATCTTATGAAGCGGAGAGACTATCTGGAGATAAGAATTGATGGCTTGATGATTACGTGGGGGAGAACTCCTTATATAGGGGAAGTTTGAGTAGATCCCATTAGATAATTCCAAGAAGAGTTAGGGGATCTCTAGCATCACAGCATCATGCACCCGTGGTAGCAGGTACATCACGTGTCTTGATGGAACCTCTCATCAATTGGTCATGTGTTCCCAAGTGGGAACTTTGACAATCCCTCAACTCTAGCCTCGAAGCCATAAGTCCTCCTAGATCCCGTGTAGATATCTTAGGCCATGCTCGCGACCTAGGTTATTCCAAAACTAAGTATAGGTTGGAGACCGATTGTGGGTAGAGCTGTAAGGTATAAATCCACAGATTGTATATCACACATGACCAATCTGATTTGTAGTTCGGTGGTGGAGTCAGATCTGACATCTGAGATATGGGGATGAGATCTTACATGTAGATCCTGGAGAGTGAGATCATGGAGATTCCTGAGCACGCTTATGATGCCGTGTTAAGGCCACATAGTGGAGATGGACCTATGTACCTACACTTCTAACAGCAAAAAGCCATTGTGTATTCTCTCTGATTCTATTCTCTCAATATTTCCTTCCAATTTACCATCAAAGAACCATTCTAGAATACCTAAAAAGATGGTTTACAGTTGTGAACCAACTATTATCACATCAGAATTCCAATTTACCATCAAAGAACCATCCTAGAATACCTAAAAAGATGGTTCACAGCTGTGAACCAACTATTATCACATCAGAAGTGCATAACCAACACAGGAAGAATAGCATTCATGTCCTTTGTGATAATTTTAAACTCCTCTAATGTGACCATGAAGCACTAGTAACTGCTTTAGAATAATTGATAAAGGTGGATATACTGTAAAAATAGAGATATAATCACAACCTCAGGACACCAGTAAGTGGTAAATTCAGCTTGCTTCTGCGAAACAATAAAACAACAGGAGTCGAAAACAAAAAATATGATTTGTAATGATAGAATCATGTTCCTAACATATAACATGTCAAACTTTTTTTATGAACAAGTGGTGATCCCCATTATTTAAAAGAAGGCTCAACCAATAACAGAACTCAACATAAAAACAATAAGACAGACTTACTGATTGCAAGCATCCGAGCTCGCTATCATAAACAGCAATTTGGCTTTCATGGACCACTAATAGATGGGTTTGATCTTTATGGAATTGAACTTTAGTTTCTCCAACCAGGGGAGAAGGGTGGCCAGGTGGTACTTGTATGGGCCTTGCTTTCTTCTTTTCCCATCCTTCAGTGTCCCAGATGCATAGCTGCAATTCAAATCGAGCATCAAGCATTGCAATGAAATTATGTATATGGCATTTCATCATAAGGTATAAATGATTCCAGATGAAAAAATAAGAAGAAGAAGAAGAAGAAGAAGAAGAAGAAGAAGAAATCTCTATTACACTTACCTGAGCATCAGCCCCAGCTGATACCAATATATCCAAAGCCTGGGAAAATGCAAGCCCCGTGATTTGTTTCTGGTGACCCTTGAGCTTGGCTTTTACCTACCGAATGGGTCAAAAGTAAATTTAAAAGATCCAGAATCAGCAATATCGTCCTTAAGCAATCGATTACGTTCAAAACCCAATTACGCCTAACCACATCTCTTAACACAACACACTCATGCGCACAGTATAGTTTTTAATATTCACCAACAGCATAACAAATCCTTGATGCACGAAAGAAATCATTAGTCAAACAATTGTAATTTAAACTAAAATTTCACAATGCAGATCCTAGTGTTGTTGATTATTAACTCAACCACTGGGAAAAAAAAAAAAAAAAAGCAGCTATGATAAGACAATAACATGTTGATTATTAATTCAACTACTGTAAAAAAAGTACTGTTAAGACAATGACTAGGATCAGCAGATTCAGCATTCTATGGATATCCTCTAATGCAAAAAGAGTTGATAGCTCCTTGACATGTTAAAAGACTTGGTGTTTCACCTCATCAACCCGAACACTGTATATTTGAATAGTAGAATCCTCCATTCCTACGGCACAGAAATTGTTGTCATGTGGATCAAACGCCAAGCAGGTTGCTGCTGGAGGTGGAGGCATGAAAGTCGTCATAATCTGGTAAGAAATTAACAGTTCCATTTAGTCATATAAAACTTTTATAAGCAAAAGTTCCAGAGCCATCGGCAATCCCTAACCAAGAACAACGAAAAACAAATTCAAAGATAATCTCATCAATAATTTAATAAGTAGAAGACTGGGGTTGTGTTTGGATCATGGATTTGGGTAGAAATTTAATAAGGGAAGGGAAAGGAAAGGAGAAAGGCGAGAGAAATGGAGAAAAAATTTAGCTTATTACATTTCCCTCACCTTTTCCTTTCCCTTTGCAAACCCCTACCCAAATCTATTATCCAAACACAGCCTAGAAGTACAGCTACTAACCTTAAATGTTATCATGTTGAACAAAGAGACCTTCCCACCAGAGGCAGATAAGAGATAAGAATCATTTTTAGATAATGCAATGCATCCAGATGACTCTTCAGCTGGTTTAGTGTCACTCGTATAATTTGTCATAAGAGCCCCAGTTGCAGGCTGCCACAACTCTGGCTTAATAGATGCAGAAGACTGACAACACAGAGAAAAGCCATCAAAATTGGATTGACTAAAACTATATTAAAAAAATGGAATGATTGAAAAACTTCTATGTTCAAATACTAACTTTCCCAGATGGATTATGTTCAGTACGCTGCCATTTCCAGAGCTTATGCATGGTATCAGAGGCAAGTGCCAGCAGAGCTACCCCAGAATTAGTGTAGAGTAGTTGGACAACCTATGGTCCATGACACATGATACATCGCACTTAGTTCAAGCTAGATAAAGATGGCTATGGGGAGAGAGCAAAATAACAAGTATACTTAAATATATGGGTAAATTACACTAACCTCCCTTAAGGTTTTGAAAAAGTACAACGGGCCCAACAAGTTTTACATAATTTCACTGGGCTCCCTGGAGTTTTTAATTCACATAACACTTTGCCCCCCTTTTCATTAGTAATTTGGTAGTCATATGAATGGGGAAAAAAAATGATATTTTCATATCTTTTATACTGAAATGTATATTTACCCTTGTTTATCGTTGTGTTTATACACCATCTGCATTAGTTCTAGTTGCTTTAGCTTTACTAAAAGGGAAGTCGATGTAATTATGCCAAACTTGTGGATCATACTGTATTTTTTCTAAACTCCAATGGTGGTGCAGTGAGGATGAATGCCTCAATAAACAAGACACCTTAAGCATGCCATGATGAAACTGGACACAGTATTTCACACATCACTAAAAAAGTTGTGAAAAAATCACAAGATAATCAAGATATATTTTCTCATTAAAAAGCAGATGTCTTTTAAAGAAATTGGGACTGCATATTTGGATAAATCAGATCTCGACAGGTATCATTCTAGAATGTACCTTGCTTGCCAGCAAAGGATCAGGCAACTGTACAGCCTTTAGTTGAGATGAGTCAACTATATCAGGGAACTTGCAGCTTCTAATGTTGTCAATATTATCTGAACTCCTTGGTTTAATATCAGCCATCCTGCTGCTCTCAACAGCCGTCTACAACTCTATCAAACAATATAATCTAATGAAGCATTGAGACAACAAAATCTGATAATGAATATAAAAGGAGTAACAGATTAGAACAGTGCCAATGGATACAGGAGGTTGGATTCAATCAAAAGGTTCAGAGGTTGGAACTATATCAGAAACATCAGATATCCTATCGTGAATGCAAAGAAAGTTGCAAATATTACAATCCAAAACACCTCCATGCTTGGTAGTTGAATTATTCAAGTTTATGTGCTATGCTGAACGTGAAATGATGTGCAAAAAGCATACTAACAGGAAATCCACTGTCTGCACCAGTAAATTTTAGTATGCGAGTAGTATTCATATCCCAAAACTTAATCTGGAATTCATCACCAGCTGCTAAGAAATAGTTTTGTCAACTTGCACAACATCAAAGGAGCAGTGTTGTCAAAATCATATGATATGTGATATGTATTGTACGATACGTACCATATTGTAGCAAATAAATACGTATCATGTATAGTATCGATCTAGAATATGAATCGTGCGATAAAAACACGCATTCGATCTATTTTTCCTGGAATCGCCATTCATCATGTATGGTGCGATACAAAGACATATTGATCAATTTTTGCAATATTCATCATGTGTTGTGCCAAACAAACACATATCGATCAATTTTTCCCAGAATTGAGATTCATTACATATTGTGTGATACAAACACGTATCAATCGATTTTTGCTGGAATTGTGATTCATCATGTATCATGCGATACGAACACATATTGATCGATTTTGCAATATTCATTATGTATTGTGTGATACAAACACGTATCGATCGATTTTTGCAATATTCATTATCTATTGTGTGATACAAACATGTATCAATTGATTTGTGCTGGAATCGGGATTCATCATGTATTGTTTGATACGAAAAAAAAAAAGAAAAAAAAAAAGCCTTTTGATTCACAGATTCTGCACAGATCCACTGAAATCAGACATACCTTTGCAAAGATAGAGTGACTCGTCGGTATACGGAATGATTTTGTGGTTTGCGAAGATGGATTGATGTAGTGTTATCGATTTCAGAGCTTCATCCTTCGACTCTGGTTCTGCTATTGAAGAAGACAATGAAAAAGCTGAAGCGCAGAAAGGGAAATAAGGGTTTATATTAAGGGCTGGTTGGAAACAAAAATATACTAAACTACTTATTGCCTCAGTTGGGTATATAACCAAACATGCGTATTAGTGGATTGCGTGTCAACAAAGTTACCTTTTACTGCTATTTTCTTATTAGGAATGCTGCTGCCGACTAAGTAAACATATTTATTTAATTTACAATTCCAAAAGTCCATTTTAATACTATTCAAACACAATCCCAAAAAAATCTACAGAAAACAGGACATATAATTTAATTCCATGAAATAGAATCTTTAATTCTTGCAAATTCCACTATATTTATAATTTGTGTTTATGTACTATTTTTTCAACTTCTTCATACATGTTAATGTATCTTAAGATACATGATAGGATACGATACATAGAATTAGTACACTGATACACAATACGTATCATGATTCGACAACAGTACTAAGGAGTGCTTTCCAAAACCAGAGTATGTCCTCTTAAAAACTCTTTCAATCTGCTCACCCAAAAAAACAACTCTTTCAATCTCATTCCACTCAACCAGATGGATTCACCTATTTGATTGATCCACAAGAGAAAAGTATATATATAGAGAGAAAGAGAGAGAGTATAAGGATCTTGATGTTGTTAACAGCAAAAGCATTTATTATTTGTCACAACCATGATTGTCCTCGTCATTAGAAAGAACCAATTATATTATCGAAAACAAATTCTGGTCCAAAAGCAAAAGTGGGATTTTTAATTTAAGAAGCACGTACACGGACAAGTGCACAACACGGATACGACACGGACATAACATGGACATGCCAACATGAAAATTTTCAAAAAATGCAAGACAAGATATGTGAGAGACATGCACAGAATACATAATTTTATATATTTATTATATGTCATATATATGAATATATCATTTCAAGACAATAAATAAATGCGATATAACACTAATTTCTATAAATTGACATTGTTTTAATTTATCATCGCATTCTAAGTTATTTAGTTCAAAATTATAATTAGTTTCATGTGTGTATAATTAATGGACGTGTGTTTAAGCCAATGTCCGAGTCTAAAATTTTTTAAGAGAACAAGACACATTTGGATGAGTGTCGGACACATGTCGGGAAGTGTCCGACGAGTGTTGGTGTCCGACACGGACACGCCACCTTTTTAGAAGTATGCAAAATGATTCTTAGTTTTTAATCAATTCAAAATATTTGGGATTTGTGCCACCACTATTGCAAATTGGCCTGCAATTTCCAAACCATAATCTCTGGTTTGGTAAACTATTAAAGTAGCTCTATGATTCTACTGAAATTTTTGATCAATTGAGAATGAGGAAGAATGGTTGATGCAGCCACAAACACTGATAATATTTATGATGCTGCATTGCTACTAGCCAATTTTGTATGGAACTATACAAACTAAATTTATGGGAATAGTTTTCAGAATGGCATGGCAGGGGCCGTATTAAAATAACTCTACATAATAATTTTGCTTTACACTTTTAGGATGTGTTTGGATTATTGATTTGGTTAGGAATTTAGAAATGAAAAAGGAAAATATGAACAAAATATAAGCTAAATTTTTTCTCCATTTCCATCTCCTTTCCTTTTCCTTCCCAAATCCTACCCAAATCCATGATCGAATCATGGCCTTAGGGAACTTTGTAGGCTTTCATTCTGGTATCATAATCCTCTCCGTATTATTAAATCTGTATGGCAGGCTGTCATCATCAATGAGAACTGGTGCCTAAATGGCATTCATATTTTAAGTGATGCTTTAAATAATTTAACCTACAATAATAATAATAATAATAATAATAATAATAATAAATAAATAAATAAAAATAAAAATAACACACACACAACCTAAAGGAATGACGTGCAAAATAACTCATTTCTACATAAAGTAATACTTAGATTGCCATTTTTTTACTTATATATTTGGAATATAAGACCAAAATGAAACATTTATGCCACTACAACATTTCCAGTCAAATTGTCAACCACGAGATTAGTCTAACATTGCATTTGTATAACAGTTAACTGGTCTATGAGACAGAAGTAAAAATGTAACACACTAAGAACAACCAAGACCGACCACAAAAAACAAAAGAATGATTTATAGCACTACTGATATAACATGAACTTAGATGCATTTAGACAAACTCAAAAAGATAAGAATTTCTGTGTCACATGTTGCAACAAGGACACAATTGCATATTTAGATACACATGGCCTGCATCTTTGGTGAACTTCACCGTGCACCCAGAGCAGTAAAAGCTCAAGTGCTCTATTATCATTTTTAATGACACCATTATGTGCCTGAGAAAATCATCCATTTTGAAGTTGAAAATTTTAAAAATGAAACTCTGATATCAGTGAGATAAGTCCTGGACTTCCTAAATCAATAAGCTAATAATCTTCAGATCAGGCTCACTATCAAAAAAAAAAAAAAAAATTAAAAAAAAATTTTGTTCAAGTCAAACTCTATTGCTCGAGGAGTGAGAAAAAAAGGATAATGATTAATTCATCAGCGAAAAAAGGCAGTCCACTCTGGGGTCTAGGGAGGGTGAGATATAAGCCATCCTACCCGAGTGTGGAGAGGCTATTTCTGTGATTTGAACTTGTGAAACCCAAGTTGCAATGGATTGATTCATCAGAAAAAGCAGAAATAAAGCATGGGTTCTTGACTATGGTTTGTTTATCTGCTTCTGACCATTGCTTTACTTCTCTGTCAATCCCACACCCTCTTCACTTACTAACCAAATAACATCAATAACTCTTCTTTTTAAGTTCAGAAGTCGCAGACGTTTGGGTCGGCTTACATGCACCTCGACTAATCCCCTCCCTGGTCCGGTCAAAGGCAGGCCATCCACGCCGGGCCTAGGGAATTCACGAGAAAATACTCTCTCACAGCCTGACCCCAAGAATCGAACCCTCAGCAATTGTGTGGGGAGCACACCCGCCAAGCACTCATGACAACCCTCAGGGTTAAAAACATCAATAACTCAAAACCCAAAATGAGTTGAATTCAACTAAAGAATTCTTAATTCCAAGACCACTCACTATTACACAAATACAGAAAAGCTTGAACTTTTTGGGAACTGAACAACACCATTGAACACACAAACAACTGAGTAATAATTGCTGAGCTATTAGACAGGAAAAGAAAAATAAATACCCAAAAATCTTACAACGACATCAGATTTTAAGCTATTAACAAAATGCCTTGAAAAATAAACAGTCTCTATGAACAAAACAACACCAATTTAACAAAAACAGAAAACCAAAACCAAATTTAACACACCTTGAACGCCGCGGTACTACTCTTCTCGTCTTCTTCCTCGTCTGAGCTTTTTCTGCTTCCGATTTTCAATATTTCATGGGGTTGAGACACACAGTGAGGGTTATGGATTGAGAAAGAGAAGAAAGAAGAGGTCTTGAAGGAGGAGAGTAGGGAAAATGAAGAAAAAATTGGGATTCAGCCAAAAAAAATTACGAGGAATCGCAGCGAGAAAAGTAAACGACAACAAATGTCCCAAATAACAAACACCAAAAATATTATTTTTAAATTTAAAAAAAAAAAAAATTGCTACAAAAAAAAATGATAAGTATTTTTATTTATTATTTTTTTATTAAATTAGTTTTAATTTTATAGTTTAAAAATTTTTTAAATCAAACCAAACAAATTTTCTTAATTAGTTATAGTTATTTTAAATATATATATATATATATAATTATTTTCTATCAACCTTTCTCTCTCTTTTTTTTTTTTTTTCTTTTTCTCTTTTTTTTTTTTCTCTTTTATTGAATAATTTCGATTTTAAAAAAATAGTAAAAAAAAGTAACTAGTTAAAATAAATATTATTATGTATAAAACAAAATAGTTGATATTTTTGGAGATGCGATCATGCATCCAAGTAACTCCAATTAATAAGTTGATTTTTGGAAGGTTTAATTTTTGTTTAGTGAATTATTTTTAAATATATATATAACTACCGATAAGCTTGGAAATGGTCAAGCCCTATTAACAATTTTTTTAATTTTTGGAGAAAAGTTTAAGCGAAAAAATAAATATAAAGTAACTTACAGCCATAACACAACAAATAAATTTTTTATCAAAATAACCAATCAACATAACAAATTATTATGGCAATACACAGAATAATTAATACTTAAAAAAGCAGAGTAAAGAAGGAAAGGATTCAGGTTTGCATAGTGAAACATGAGATATATACTTCAATTAGTCTAATAATCTAGGTAATATGTATATTTACTATTATATATTTATGTATATAAATCGATGAGATATATACTTCAATTACTCTAATAATCTAAGTAATATGTATATTTATTATCATATATTTATGTGTTCGAGTTGTCTAGATTACGTCTGCCCAAATCCGAGTTCAAAAATATACTTTATTATTATATATATATATATATATATTTTTAACACACCCTTTATCACATCCATTATATCACCATTCCCTCATTAAATTAACAAACTCTTAAACACATTTTTGAGTCTCACTTTTAACATTTTTTGTCATATAACAAACACTTAACACACAACTTTAACACATCCATCCAAATTCACCTCGAAGTATTCAATACATCAGCATTCCTAAATAAACTTGGTCCATAAATTTAGCCGGTTTTCATCAAATCAACACCACTCTAGGTAACACAAATTCTGATATATTTGAGCTTATCAACAATGACAAGAACACCCAAGTGGTGACAAAACTCCACAGGTAAATTCATAATAACTACTAAAAACAAGCCACAAATATAGTCAGAATCATCTTTCATTTCCTGAGGAATAAACGACAATCTTTACCAGTAGTTGAACCTGTACATGAATACAACAACATAAAATCACTCTCACAAATAGACTCATGCAATCTAAATGCATTACATAACTTGTAAGGCAAAAAATGGCCTCATCACCCAAATTTGTGATTGACCAACAATGTGTAGACTTTGCCTCTGAATTTTTGTCAAAAACAAATGAGGCGATATGTATATATATATATATATAGATTTACAACCGGTTAATGATTGCAAAAAAAAGTACACGTGTGAGTGCCATAGCTTCATCAAGAATAATCCTGTCTTATAAGGGTCACCTAGAAGGGGTTTCAGATGGCTGACTATTATTCAAGGCAGAATTTGAGGCGACAGAAGGTAAAGCCCCATTTTCTTGAGGCACTGAGCTGCCCCACTTTGGCTCTGGCGATATGTATATATATATATATATATAGATTTACAACCGGTTAATGATTGCAAAAAAAAGTACGCGTGTGAGTGCCATAGCTTCATCAAGAATAATCCTGTCTTATAAGGGTCACCTAGAAGGGGTTTCAGATGGCTGACTATTATTCAAGGCAGAATTTGAGGCGACGGAAGGTAAAGCCCCATTTTCTTGAGGCACTGAGCTGCCCCACTTTGGCTCTGCATCAGAAGGCTCGATCACATGGACTGCGCCGTCGCTCATTCCAAGAGCAATTTGGTTAGGTTCAGATGGATGTGCTGCAATCACCACAGGAAAGGAACTGCCGTTGCTGCTGTAGAATTAATACCCATCGTTAAAAATTGATTAATCGAGCCTCGAATATTGCATCACTTGGGAAATGGAACAAAGTAAAATACAGTTTTTTCAAATTTAGGTACTTTTACCAGTAGAGTCAAACTCACCCAACTATGCTGTAAAACTTTTTTAAAGGAAATATAAATTATAAGACACCCTCACATAAAATTTGATAAGAACAAACTCACCAATAAATGATGTCCCAAAGTTGCCCAACAAGTCAAAATCAGAAAAAATTCAGTTTCAAGTATCTCAAGGCATTTTAGGATGATTTTGGAGGCTTGTAATTTATTCTTATTTCGTTTACCACGAAGGATTTTTTTTTTTTAAAATTTTAAATTTTAATCTATCAATATATATTGCATACATGTTGAAATCAACAATCAATCTTCTAAGGTAAGTCTAGGTGAAAGTCTGGTATTGGCACACTCAGTAAACTTTTGTGATGACCCTCAAGCAGCATCCAAAACAAAACAGAAAAGGGAAAAGGAAAGTGGGAAAAGAAATTCTTTATGGCAAGTTTCTCTTAATTGTCTCCATTATACCAAAAACCATGATGAATTTTAAATTTCAATAGCCTGTTGGATTGAAGAAAAAGGAGAGGAAAAAATCAAAATTTTAGAAGTATACAGATCCATTTGGCATTAAAAAGGTAGAGAGTATTTCCAGGTAGGCATACCTGGCAATGGAAGAAGATATATAAGCAGATGGTGCTATCCGACATCGAAGCCTGAGACTGTCTGCATCAAAAACTCCAATAGCACCATCACAAAATCCAGTGAAGATCAGCAGACCATCACATGAGTATATTGCACTTGAAATGGCAGCAGAAAGTGAATCCCTTGGATACCACTGCAAGAAGGTTTACTGGTCATTGGTTGACAAAATCAAAAGAAAATAGACTAACACTAGAATCGAAATATATATATAGATGAATTGTCTCCACGTAGTCATCATGTAAATTGTGCTTGAAATGTAGTCAGACTGCAAGAGACATGCAGATGAATCTGGCGATAGAGCAGCTGAGATCGGTAATATCATGCAGACTGACTGCAGATGAAAAAGACAACCAACCGACCAATATTCTACTTTTGGGTCAAACATGAAGACAATAGATACCTAACAACAGCTCAACATCCCATGATCAAAAATAAAAAATTAAAAAACAGCCGCTGCAGATGTTGAAATGATGAAATAGCACCCACCTGAATTATCATTCAAGATTCAAAACCTCCCTAAATATATCAAAAAATTACACCCCCTTTATAGACCCACATATACTAAGCTGCCACAAAATTTCATACCAGATTACAAGGAAACTAAAAATGCCTGATCAAATGTGACACTCCCTCAAAAAATGATAATAATCAAATTTCTTTATAGCTAAATAAATATATAACAAGAGTATCTAACTACCCTCTGCTTTCTATTTCCTCATTATCTTTTTTTCTGTTTGTTTCTGCCCCTTCTTTGGCAACAATTTTGCTTCTATGAGATCACAGTGCACCTAAACAGAGAGGTCAAAGGCCATTTTGTGAGGCATTTCTACACGGAATAAATATATGCTTATGACAATGCAATGTGTCCCTAATGAGATGGTTTGCGGATGTGTCATGGGGATGCTTACATTTGTCCAGGCTAGGTAAAAAATTGACAGATTCTTGTTGGGAGTTTTATTCCATCTTGGGTCGAAGGTACATCTAATTTTAAGTTCATTCACTAGAAGAAACATGTGAACTAACCAGTAACTATGGAGAAACATAACTCTAGTTTTGGCTCTAGTAAGATGTCAAAGCAGTTTAGCAACTAGGTTTTGGTTAGTTTAAGGTATGAAATGACAGTCTGAATTCAGATTTGTGGCAAGATCAGAAGAAAATAAGGATGCACCATCCAGAACTGTTTTTTTTTTGGTAAATAAGCAAACTTTTTATTGAGAAAGCATCAAGTCGATGCAAAGAACACAAAAACTAGCCTAACAGCTATAAGCAACAAAAACCAAAACTGCACTAAACATCGAGGCAAAGAGCAATGAAGACTACTACTGAATCAAGTCCTCTACAAAATCAACAAAAGACAAAACATCCGAGTCCACTGTCACTGATATCCAACTGTGCAACACAATGAACAAATGCCGCTCCAACCAGGCCACTGTGCGCAACTCCCCCAAGAATACCCTCCTATTACGCTCCAACCAAACTAGCCACATAAGACAATGACCAGCCATTATCCATGTCTTCCGCCTTCTCTTCCCAACCCAGCTTCGTAACACAGCCCTCACTGTCCCTGATTGAACCCAAGCCAACCCAAAGACAACAACTATAGACATCCGAAGGCGTGAAGCAACCGGATAGCAAATAAGCAAATGGTCCATAGTTTCCATAGCTCCACAACACATGCAACACCAATTCACCAAAATATGCCCACGATGGATCAAGTTATCAATCGTCAAAATGCGTCCTAATGCTGTTGTCCACACAAAGAAAGCGACTTTGGACGGACAACCCACCACCCAAACAATTCGTCCATGGAAATGGCACCCCAGCCCCACCCGTAAGCTCCCCTCCCATAAGCCTATAGTAAAAAGAAGAAACAGAAAATACCCCTTTAGACTTCGGACATTCCCACCTCATAGAATCCTCTCCAACCTCTCCAAACCGAAGACCGTACAAAAAGCCCAACAGATCTAACAATTGTCCCGCCTCCCAATCCTGCACTTCACGACACAATCCAACATTCCACACCACCACCTGGCCTTGCACCTGGGCATAAGAATCCACTGTCGCCTCCCGATCAATCACAATACGAAAAATCAACGAGAACATCACATCCAATGGGGACTCGCCACACCACCTATCCTGCCAAAACCAAAGCTGGTCCCCACCTCTACCCTAAAACTTGCTCTCTTTCAAAACTCTCTCGGCCCAACCAAATACCTTTCCACAAACTACGCCCATACAACTGTCTAACCTCCTCCGTACTCCAATTCCCCCCATCCCAACCCATATTTAGCCCCTACCACCTTCCGCCACAACCTCTCCCTCTCTACCTCAAACCGCCATAACCACTTCCCCAAAAGAGCCAAATTAAACGAAACCAAACTCCGAATCCCCAACCCTCCCATCACCTTAGGAGAACAAATGTGATCCCAAGCTACGAAATGATAATGGAAAGACTCAGACCCTCCACCCCATAAGAAATCCCTCTGTAACTTCTCCAACCTCTTTGCAACAAACACAGGAATGACATGAAATAACTCGGAGACATGAAATAAGTCGGAATTCTCGAGAGGACACTCTTAATTAGTGTGACTCAACCACCCCCCCCCCCCTCTTGATATATATTGTCGCTTCCATCCTGCCAAACGGTGCTGCACCCTGTCCACCACCCTATCCCACGCCCCTTTTGCCTTAAAAGAAGCACCCAAAGGTAACGCCAAATAAGTTGTGGGCAAAGCCACCATCTTGCATCCCAAAATAGCAACCAATATTGATAGCCGTGCCACTTCACCAACCGGAATCATCTCTGACTTCCCCAGATTCACCTGAAGCCCCGAGACCGCCTCAAAACAAAGAAGAGCACACCTCAAATAGCCAACATTACCATCCTCCGCTCCACAAAACATAAGAGCATCATCCGCATAAAACAAATGAGACACCACTAAGCTGGTATTCTGATCCATGCCCACCTTAAAGCCCGTCAACAGACCCCTCTGAACAACATTGGATAACAAGCGCCCCAAAGCCTCCATAATCAAAATAAACAATAATGGAGACAAAGGATCTCCCTGCCGCAAACCCCTATACGTCGGGAAAAATCCTGCTGGCATCTCATTCACTAGGATAGACATCCTAACCGTCGATATGCAAAACTGAATCCACTGCCTCCACAATTCCCCAAACCCCACACTCTCCAATATATACATCAAAAGCCGCCAGTTCACGTTATCATACGCCTTCTCAATGTCTAACTTGCAAATAATGCCAGCTTGCCCCTGCCGAATCCGCGAGTCAACACACTCATTTGCTACTAACACAACATCCAAAATCTGACGTCCACCCACAAAAGCATTCTGAGACTCTGACACTAACCCCTCCAAGACACCTCGCAATCTGTTAGCCAAAACTTTCGCCAGAAGCTTGTACACACTTCCCAACAAGCTGATGGGTCGAAAATCCCTAATATCCTTCGCCTCTCTTGTCTTTGGAATTAAAGCTATGAAAGTGGCATTAAGACTCCTTTCGAACTACCCTATCTGATAAAACTGAGCAAACAAAGCTAACACATCTATCTTTACCACTTCCTAACACTGCTGGAAGAAAAGCATAGTAAAACCATCCAAACCCGAAGCCTTGTCCCCAGACATTTTCTGCAAGGCCACTAAAACCTCCTCCTCTGAAAATGGCCTCTCTAGCATCTGTCTATCCGCCTCTGAAATAGCATCAAACTGAACACCATCCAACACGGGAAAAATCCTGCTGGCATCTCATTCACTAGGATAGACATCCTAACCGTCGATATGCAAAACTGAATCCACTGCCTCCACAATTCCCCAAACCCCACACTCTCCAATATATACATCAAAAGCCGCCAGTTCACGTTATCATACGCCTTCTCAATGTCTAACTTGCAAATAATGCCAGCTTGCCCCTGCCGAATCCGCGAGTCAACACACTCATTTGCTACCAACACAACATCCAAAATCTGACGTCCACCCACAAAAGCATTCTGAGACTCTGACACTAACCCCTCCAAGACACCTCGCAATCTGTTAGCCAAAACTTTCGCCAGAAGCTTGTACACACTTCCCAACAAGCTGATGGGTCGAAAATCCCTAATATCCTTCGCCTCTCTTGTCTTTGGAATTAAAGCTATGAAAGTGGCATTAAGACTCCTTTCGAACTACCCTATCTGATAAAACTGAGCAAACAAAGCTAACACATCTATCTTTACCACTTCCTAACACTGCTGGAAGAAAAGCATAGTAAAACCATCCAAACACGAAGCCTTGTCCCCAGACATTTTCTACAAGGCCACTAAAACCTCCTCCTCTGAAAATGGCCTCTCTAACATCTGTCTATCCGCCTCTGAAATAGCATCAAACTGAACACCATCCAACCCCAGCCTGCAAGTCTCATCTTTTCCCCGAAACAGGTGTTGATAGAAGCTCACTATGCCCTTCAGCACCTCCTCCTCTGATGATAACAACACACCGTTAACCCGCATCTTCCCAATCTGATTCACCCGACAATGAGCATTTGCTATACAATGAAATTTTTTTGTATTTTGCTCCCCATCTTTCAACCACAAGCATTTCAATCTTTGTCGATTGCTAACCTCCTCCATGTGAGCCACCTGGCCATACTCCTTTCTCACCCCCTCACAGGCCACCCAATCCTCGTCAATCAAGCTTCCTTCAGCTTTCTTTTCATCCAATCCTTGCAATACCGACAAAAGATTAGTCTTCTGAGTTTCCAACTGACCAAACACCTCCTTATTCCACCTCCACAAGCCCGCCTTTAGAAGCTTTAGGTTGTGTTTGGTAGAGTTTTAAAATTATGATTTGAGAATAGCGTTGTATTTTGAGTTTGTGAGTTTTTGAATTATGATTTGAGTGTGAAAAATTTGTTTAGTTATGAGTTTTAAAAAGAGTTTGAATTGAGTGATGTGACATAATATTGAAAAGTGAATGTTTTGAAAAGTGAGTGTGAAATTAATTTTCTAAAGCTGCAACCAAACAACACACTCAAACTAAGGGGTAAAATCACATTTCAAAAACTCTACCAAACAGAGCCTTAATTTCTAAGCCAACCTGCTGCTGGGATCTCCCATCACGTCATAACCTTCCCACCACGACCAAACTATATCCACAAACCCTACTAACTGCAACCACATATTTTCAAACCGAAATGGCATCGGACCACTCCGAATCCTACCACTATCCAAGAGCACCAGCCAATGATCAGAAACAGGACGCTCCAATCTTTGCTGACCCACTCGAGAAAAGTGCTCTTCCCAATCTCCAAAAATCAAAAAAGATCAAGACGCGAAAACACACGGCCTCCAAACCAAGCAAATCAATCAACTCCAGGTCATCAATCAACGAAGAGAAATCCCGCATAGATCCCCCTGCTGGGCCCAAACCCAACTTGTCCTCCGAATGACGCACCACATTGAAATCCCCTTACACACTATGGTGCCGACCACCGAAAAGCAACACTCTGTAATTCTTCCCAAAAGAAAGCCCACTCTGACCCCTTCACTGGCCCATACACTCCCATAAACAGCCAACGGAAGTCATCCCCAATGCAACGAAAAACCACCCATCTCATTGTCCTCTTTTTCCACCACCCTCCGATCCCAACATACTAGAATCCCCCCGATCACCCCAACAGCTGGCAAGTATGTCCAATCCACAAACCAACCCCCCCACACCTCCCTAACCATCTCCCGATCTATGTTCCATTTTAGTCTCCTGAAAACATACAACATCCGCTTTCACTTTCCTCAATACCACTCGGACCGTCACCCTCTTTCCCCTGTCATTCAGTCCACGCACATTCCAAGATAAAAATTTTAACCACATGGCAACAGTGAATGGCTAGCACACTCCTTCCTCACGGTCCTACCGCCTTCTTGTGACCACCTATCATAATTAACAGTGCACTGTAAGTTCCGCAGCTCTCTAGCACCCTTTCCCTTTTGCCCAACAACCTGTATCTGTTTACCCACAGGAGCACTCCCCCTCCACGATGCCTCTATGGCCAAAAACAGCCTCATTGCTTCTTCCTCATGCCCAACAAATGATACCCCAAATAAAGAACTTACCTCCTTAATCTACGACACCACCCAAGCAAACACCTCTCTCGGACTGCACCAGCCAGAACTATTAGATAGCTTCATATACATTGTTGGACCCATTTCCTAATAGCTTAGGCATTTGGAAAAAATTAGTGACTTAACATGGTATCAAAGCCATGGTTGAGAGAGGTCATGGGTTCAAGTCTCTCCATTGGCATTTGGTATTCTGCTCCCATTTGGTTTCTTCCTCTCCTTGGTTGTTTACTTCTCCTTCTATTTGGTTCTCTATTAGTCTCTCCACGTGCAAGATGGGGTGCAAGTGAGGGAGGGTGTTAGATAGCTTGATATACAATGTTCGACCCATTTCCTAATAGCTTAGGCTTTTGAAAAAATTGGTGACTATTAGAATAGTTATATATTATATGTTATTTTTCTGATAAGTTGAGGGTACGATAGTCGTATTTTAAGGTGGTGTGGTGTGTTTTATAAATATGTTGATGGTTTTAGGTTTATTTTAAGAACCTACAAACATGTATTCAATATAACTATTCTAACATCATGGATTCGGCATGTTGGGTATCGATCCCGAGAGAGTGATTACCGTCGATTTAGCTTGAGCATCTTAAGTCTGGGGAGTGTGGATTCACTAGTGAATTGTAAGATACTTGGGTAATTACTCATACTATATAGTGGATTAATTTTCCAGCCTCGGGCACATGGTTTTCCATCTCAACTAGAGGCTCACCAATTAAAATTGTCCCACGTTAAATTTGTGCCTTTGTATGATGAATTGGGTTAATTACATGCAATTCGGTTGAGATCTAGTTATAGATTTATTAATTGATAATCAATTACCATCAAGTGTTTAGCAAATTGTCAAGTAAATAGATCTATAATTGTGAATTCAATAAAGCAGAGTAAAACTGATATACAAACTCCATGAACATAAAAACAATGAGGCAAACTTACTGATCTCAACAACTCGAGTTGGCTATCATAAATAGCAATTTGGCTTTCATGGACCACTAACAGATGGGTTTGATCCTTATTGAACTGAACTTTAGTTTCTCCAACCAGGGGAGATTGGTGGCCAGTTGGTACTTGTATGGGCATTGCTTTCCTCTTCTCCCATCCATCAATGTTCCAGACACATAGCTGCAATTCAAATCAAGCATCAAATATTGTAATGTAATAATGTAGGTGGTGCAGCATCATGCAAAATAACCAGAAAAATAAAATACACTAATCATTTTCCCCTCTTCCAATAAAATATGGTGTTTCATCTTAGGTAATTCACAGAAATGATTCCAGACGAAGGCATAAATTTGCAAGGAAAAAAGAAATCTTATTGAATCTAGCACTTGCCTGCGCATCAGCCCCAGATGATACCAGAACATTCAGATTCTTGGAAAATGCAAGCCCTGTGATTCGTTTCTGGTGACCGTTGAGCTTGGTTTTTACCTGCAAAGGTGTCAAAAGTAAATTAAAAAGAGTAATATTGTCCTCAAGCAATCACTGATCTTCAAAACCCAATTACGCTTAATCACCAAATTACATTTTAAATAAAAACACACAGCTGATGGTTCGTTGATATTCACAAACTGCATGACAAATTATATGGCAGTGAAAAAGTTAGAAGTCAAATAATTCCAAACCAAAGCCAAATTCCATCCCCACAACCTTGCCACCGCATATCCTAGTGTTGTATATTATTATTTCAACTGTAAAAAAAGAAAGGAAAAAAGGCAGTAATGATACGACTATGGCCAGTATCAGCATATGCAACATCTGATTGTAATCCTTTAATGCAGGTACAATTGTTAGCTCCTTGACTTGTTAAAGATGGGTGTTTCACCTCATCAACCCGAACATTGTATATCTGAATGGTAGAATCCTCCATTCCTATGGCAATTATATTGTTGTCTTGCGGATGGAATGCCAAGTAGGTTGCTGCAGGAGGTGGAGCCATGAAAGTTGTCATAACCTGATCAGAAATTACTGATTTCATTTAGTAACACATCAACAATCAAAAGTAGCAGAGCCAGCAGCAATCTGGAACCAAGCAACAGTGGAGAACAAACTCTAAGATACTCTCACTAATAAGGATAGCTAACCTTAAATGTCATCATGTTGAACAAAGAGACCTTCCCACCCGAGGCAGACATGACATAAGAATCATTTTTAGATAATGCAATGCATGCTGCTGACTCTTCAGCTGGTTTAGTGTCACTGGAATCATTAGTCATAAGAGCCCCAGTTGAAGGCTGCCACAACTGTGGCACAATAGATGCAGTAGACTGAAAGAATATGGAGAAAAGCAATCAAAAAAATGGATCAACTAAAAACCATATTTAAAAATGAAGTGATTGAAATGTATATACGTTCAAATACTAACTTTTCCAGATGGATTGCGGTCAGTACGCTGCCATTTCCAGAGCTTATGAACAGCATTGGAGGCAAGTGCAAGCAAGGCTAGCCCAGAATTAGTGTAGAGCAGTCGCACAACCTGTGGTCCACAACACATGATACATTGCACTTAGTTCAAGCTAGTTAAGGATGACTACAGAAAAAACTAACCACAATGATGAGTAATTTTAAATATACATATATATACACAAACAATGAGATGAATGCCTCAATAGACGAGACACCGTAAGCATGGCATGATGGAAATGGACACAGCATTTTGCATAAAACTAGAAGAATTACAAAAATCACAAGACAAATGTAAGATTTTTCTCATTCATATTCAGAAGTCTGTCAAAGAAATTGAACTGCATATTTGGATGAATCAGCTCTATACAGGTAACTTTATAGAACATACCTTGCTTACTGTCAAAGGGTCAGGCAATCGTAAAGCCTTTAGTTGAGCCGAGTCAACTATATCAGGGATTTTCCAGCTTTTAACTTTGCCAACATTATCCAAAATCCGTGGTTTAATATCAGCAGCCCTGCTGCTTTCAACAGCAGCCTACAATTTTATCAAACAATATAAGCTAAGAAAGTATTGAGATGACAAAATCTAATAATGAACAAAAAAATGTAACAGATTACAAGAGTGCCAATGGACACGGGAGGTTGGATTCTATCAGAACGTTCTGGGGTTGGAACTGCAGAGCCAGAAAGATTGGTAATGGGGCCTAATGCACCAGCTATCGGAGGCTGCAGAGAAAGTTACAAAAATTAAAATTAAAACCAAATTCATGCATGGTATAATACTATTAAAAAATAATTAAAACAAACTAGTAAAATTACTTTAACGTTGACAGCTTCAGAAAGGCTTCGAGACCCCTCAAATGCCCTGCTCTCAAGCATCCTCAGCATGCGCTGCCCATCAATATTTGCTAAAATCTTGATTCCGCTATCACTAGTTGTAACAGCCATCAATGAACCTTCCTTGTTAAATTTTAGTCTAGGGCTTGCCTGCGAGGAACCCCAACATCAAATAGCAACAAGAGTTATTATTCAAGTTAACGTGATGTGCAAAACACAATAAATGATGTGCAAAGAAAACTAACAGGCAATCCACCGTCTGCATCAGTAATTGTTAGTATGTTGGTACTGTCCATATCCCAAAACTTTATCTGGAATTCATCACCAGCAGCTAAGAAACGGTTCTTTGTTGTGTCGAACTGCACGACACCTGAAGAGCGCTTTCTAAAACCAGAATATGTCCTCTTAATGGCTCCTTCACTCTCATTCCACTCAACCAGGTGGGATTCACCCTCTTTGCTTGTTCCACAAGAGAAAAGTCTGAAAAAGTTAAGACATTTACTATAAGTATCATGATGGGTAATATTAACAGCAAAGGCATTTCCTATGTGTTATAACTATTATCATCATCATCACAACAACCACAAGAAGAATGATACAGAGGCCAATTACACAAACACCCTTCAGGTCTTTAGCAATGGGGATTTGCTAACCTTTTTTGAAAGGAAAAATAAATAAATAAAATAAAATAAAATAAGAGCAATGCCCACCAAAATTAAAGAACAATTAGCTCAGCACCATTCACGAGTAACCCTATTTTTCGTTACCAAAATTCCCCTTATAGAAACATTGGAAGGAAAAGTATAAAGCATTTCATTTGTAAAAACATTCAGTCAATAACAAAAGTACCCTCCTTTTTAGAAGCAGTATACTAGTATCCCATGTTGGTTATCACACGGCCAATTATCAGAAATGGGGTTTTTCTTTGATGTCACTATTGCATTTGCTATTCATTGCTTATTCGAATTGCTCGCCAGACATGGCTCCAATCTTGCCAAATGTCCTTAATCAATTTGGGTGTACTTTGAGGCTCCACGTGAAAGCAAAGCAACGTTAAGATGCCATTTGGTAACGTTTACAAATTATTGGCTTTGTTTGATTTGCCTCTTCAGAGAAATTTTTTGAGAAAAAACTTCAAAAATTTGTTTTGCTGAAAGTTTTTGAAAAACAAATCAAAAAACACTTTTCTCTCTACTACACATCAATCAATCACTTTTTCTCTCAAACCCATCTATTCAACTATCAAAAAATAAATAAAAGGGACTTATTTGCGGGTCCTAATAGGTGGACTTATTGTCCAATAGGTCCTATGATAAATTAATGGTGCTTTTCATCAAACAATATTAAAAAACGCCACTAATTGTTAAATTTTAGCGACAGTTTGAAAATTGTCACAAAAAATGTTCAAATGATAAGTTTTAGCGACAATTTAAAAAAATCGTCACAAAAAAAAGTAACTAATTTTCAACTTTCAGCTACAATTTGAAAAATCCGTCACAAAAAAAATCACTAATTGTAATTTTTAGTGACAATTTATAAAAACCGTTACATAAAAATATCACCAATTGTCAATTTTTAGCGACATGCAAAAAATGTCACAAAAATTATTTTTAACGACGATTTTATTAGGAAATATTTTCAATAGGACTTGATGGAAATTAAGTCCAACTATTATGACCTATTGGTAATTTACCCAAAATTAAATCATCCCAAAACCCCAAAACTATTTTTAAAACATACAACCAAAAAAAATTTCAAATTTTGTAAACTCTTTCTAGAAAATTATTTTTCAAAATTTTTCACAAATACAAACCAAATATGGCCGTTGTTTTTTTTTTTAACAAAAAATATTATACATGTTAACGTTTATTTTTCATAAACAGGAAAACAAAAACATGTTTGGTACACATGTTTCAAAAACATGTTTACAAACAAGTGAGAAGAGGTGGCCAGAGGTAGTTGCAGACTGTTGGAGATGGTGGTGGTTGCTGGTGATCAAAGGTGGTTGAGGCTAGTGGGAGTGAGTGGGTTGCAAACCGCCAAGCAGGTCGCCGGCAGCAGCAGTGGTTGGAGGAGGTTGCCAGCAAAGCCACTAGTGACAATAAATTACAAAAATAGTGTAAAATTGTAATTACCCAAAGAACAACAACAAAACCACCAGTGACAATACAAAAATAAAAAGAAATGTCACATTAGATAATAATTAATCAACCACCACTATTTCAATTCAAGTGAAGAAGACAGAGGAACAAGAAGGCACTGGCCAGAACTGGGTTTTGAGAAAAGACAGACCTGGTTCCATCAGCACTATATGCCATTGCAGTGCACCAAAGTCCAGGGGCATCATAATCCACTCTCGATCCCAAGCAATCATAGAGCCATGCTTTAATTTTCCCATCAATGGCAGTGGAAAAAATAAACTGCAGACAAAGATAAAATAGATCACGAGTGAAACTACCAAGGGACTAAACTCTTTGAACCTTCCTTTACCACATCAGCGAAGACGTGCGAAAAAAATAATTCTTGTGACACCAACGAACTGATAAGGAAACGAAAAGCAGTTGGCTCTCAAGTATCAGAATTATTCACCTGAATATTCTCCTTATAATGGGGGCAGACAGAATATACAGCAGCTTCATGGCCTTCAAATATATACTGCCTGCGTCCAGCTACAGCATCCCACACCTATTACACAAAGAGAAACATAAGAAAACTCAACTTAAAACACCCTAAAATCTTATTGCAATTATACCTTAATTGTCTTGTCATCACCACATGTGACAATACAAAGTTGCTTATTAGGATGAGCAAAGGCAATATCATTAACACCGCCAACATGAGCATCAATCTGGAACAGGGGAAAAGTCATCAGGTACTTGAACATTGGTCTCATTATTAGAAAAAATTGAACATATAACAGAGCTTACTTCCAAATGCTGTCTTAATTCTCCTGCTGGATTGTAAGTATATATCTGAACAATGTGTTTTGAGAAAGCAACACCTATGAAAGAGAATATGCAAGATAAGCAATAAAACACAATTCCTAAGAAGGAATTTAAAGGGGAAAAAAAAAAAAACTCAAGTGCTTGAAAATAAAGCATTTAGATGTACCAAGTATAGATCCATCTGGGCCCCAAATGCATCGATTGACAGATATGGTGGCATCTTTCACCAAAGCTGTCTAGAAATTATGAAATTTTTTGCATAAAAATGGTAAGATACCCACAGACTTGTATGAAGCACCATGTCAAAGGCAGCTAATACCAATGAAATTCTTACCTGCAATGGCATTGTACATGCTGAGAGATCCCAAACCTTGAAGGGTTTATGTGCTAACCTTTCTCGAGATCCAACTTCCCAAATGCTAATGTCACCAACATTCGTCCCAACTACATGGCAATAGCATAACCAGTACTAGATTCAGACATCCCTACCTAATGTATGTTATGGTAAATGATCTTCTTTTAGAAGACAAAACAGAATAATTACTAAATAGATACGAAAGATTAGGCCGTGTAAACACAGGTCACTCAAGTATCAACCTAGAAGAAAAGTTTGTTGTTGTGGATGAAAGTCCATGCTCATCACACTAGATCCTTGGTTAAGATTTCTCACGACAGTTTTTGGAAGATCATCTGGCGAATAAATGTTGGGGAATGTTGAACCAGAAAAGGACACCTAAACATTATATTTGAGCATGTCAGTACACAAGCATAAAAATGATAAAGCACCTCCTAAATTGAATCTTTAAAAATGAATAAATAGGCCACATATGCTTTTCCAATTTTTTGCACCTCGTCAGATTGGCCAGATCTAATACGTTTCATCAGATGCTCTGAATCTGCTGTCTGATAATCCATCCCAGGAGCACCTGGAGGAGTCCTTGGGTGTTTCAGGAATGCAGCTGAGGATATCAGAGTACACAATATACAGTTAAACAGACTGAACAAGCAATTGAATATCTCATTATAAATGCAGCCACCCCCACAGTAAATATTGAGAACCAACCTGCACCAGGAGGCTGGACAAGGCCAGGGGGCCCTGGTGCAACGGCAGCATGAGGCATGGAAGGGTTAGCATTTGACATCCAACCCGCTATGGCACTTGCAGCTGGAGAAACAACTGGCTGGAATGGCTGCACATAAGAAAGAATGAGCCAAGTACAATTTGAAGGCAGCAAAGTGTCCACTACGGTAAGCAAATTCAGTTATACTTACGATATGGGCTCCAATAGGCGGGAACACCCCAGCTCTAGGAACAGGTCCTGCAAGAGGGTTATTAGTAGGTGGAGGAGCACGGGCTCCGTTACTAGAAGCACAAGTGTGATCAGTAAAAAGTGTCTTGATATCAGGGTTTGGGCGGGGATTCTTGCAAAGTTGATGCTGCCAGTTAAGACTGAAAATTCAAAAAAAAACTAATAAATAAAATTTGACAATAACAACTTAATAAAAGATAACAGTCCATAAAACAATTAACAAATGCAACTGCAATCCATTGATCAAATTATCTCCAACGTGACGAGTAATAACAACCATCACAATATAACAAGAATCAAAGTTGAAGGAAAAACAATAGCAGTAAATAAGTGGACTGTAACCTCTGATTTATCAACGTCCGCAATCGAGAAGAATTGAATGTGGGAAATGTAAGTTTGTCACGGAATAATGGATTTGCCTCTATAAGCTTCTTAAGTTCAACTAGCATAATATTTCGTGCCGACTTTGTGTCCCCATACTTAGAAAGCTGCTCATTCTGCCTAATAACACAAAAGAAGAAAAGTAGAAAGAGCATTATTATAACAAACTGGAACTCATGTTATCAGGTATTGAATATGTGCAAGTACCTAAAATTGTCAAGTGTAAGTAGCTGGGTGATCTCCTTGAAAAGAAGTTCATTGAAAGAAGCAAACACCTTGAGATCCTTCACAAGAATCTCTGCAGCTTTTGCACGATCATGCCTGCAGAGTATGATATAAAAACTAATGATCAACGTTACTTAATAACATGGGATTGCTACCAAGAGATACCACAGATAACATCATGCACTCACTGATCAAGAGCTTCCAAGTACTTTTGTTTTCGTAATTCAAAGAAAATCTTCATCGAGTACCGGTTGTCCTCAACCTTTGTGAAGCCACATAAATAACGCTCAACTTCATCCCATTCACCTGCTTGGACTTGATCCTCAAAGTATTTCATATTGAAGAAGAAACCAGACTCTTGTTCCAACCTAAATACATGCATATAGCAGTTTCAAGTAAGAAAAATAGCTGAACCATTGAGCCATCTTGTTTCTCAATTTCACTTCCTACATTCTTTCTTCAAATTACAATGAAGCCAATGAATTACAAATGAAAATCAAACACAACATATAATTACTACAAAAGAAACTCCCCAAATGGGCAATAGCCGGGTAAAAAACCCACACGGCAGGTGGGGAGATTCAGATTACTGACCTCCTCCCTGTTAAACCCCAAGCGAATAGGGGGCTATTGGCCTTCCTATATTCTTTAAGTAGAGTAATAAAGCTTCACAGTTATAATAATATACACACACACACAGACAGAGAGAGAGAGAGAGAGAAAGAAACTTACTTATGGACTGTCTCCTTGAACTTCTCCTCATCTAAGAACTGTAAGATTAAGAAAACCAGCTCCCGACTCAGGGACGACATGTCTCCTCGTCCGGGTACCCCTAACCACTCCAGTGCAAATAATCAGTATAAATTATTTGATCTTTTCAATTCTAACAGCTCGGACACAGACAAATCTCCTTTGTTTCAAATTTCCAAAGCTCAATAAACCAAAAATTCAATTCTTGGGAGTTCCTATTCCACTTTTGAGCTCACAACGACCCAATTTACACCAATTCACCAAAGAACTCATACACGATACTGATAAATTACAACCCAATTCACCAAAGACTGATGCAAAAAAAATGCCCCAACACTTGGTTCATGAAAACCCCTATTTTGTTGTCATTTCAGCTTCAATTCCCCTCAAAATACACACAAAGCCACAAGTTTTGCCTTCAATCATCAAATACAAAGAACACAAAGACCTAAAAAAGAGTTAAAAAGAAACACACCACAAGAACTGAAATCGATGAACCCTAAAGCAACCTCAAACCTCTCTCTTGCATGAAAATCCACAAGAACGACCGAGTGTGTAGAATAGGTAACAACGATCGTACCAGCAACTTCAGATCTGAACACACCCAAGAAAAAGAGGCGGCTTTGACGATGAGAGAGAAAACAGAGCTCTCTAGGGTTTACAGAGAACTACTTTGCTCTGCAACAACGACATCAGTCCTCACCGTATGGTTTCTCTCTCTACATATATAGAGTGAGATATGTAGAGAGACAGTGCTTTTTACATGTGTAGCTTTTATAGGTGGCCGTGTTCAGGTTTCTCTCTCCTACCACTGCTGTCCTAATGACTTGTGAAAGTGATAAGGTCACGAAGATGTGAGTTGAGATTGATCAAGAGCCAATTAAAGGTTTGTTTTTCTTCGTACGTGTTGTGTGAGGATTGGGTGGTGGTTAAAGTTTGTTCACCGTTGCTGTACTATTTTGTTTTACTAAATATTTTAATTTATTTTATTTTTATTAGTTTTTTTAGTCTAAATCCAAATTCCTAAATGCCCATTTATTTGGGAAATTGACTATTTTAATCTGATTAAAAAAATTATGTTTGAAAAGTTAATTAATTTTTTAATTGATTTGATAATTATAAAAAAAAATGAAATAATTATAAGTTAGATGTGACATTTTATCTTATTAATTATTTTAACTTATTTTGGTCTCGTTTGAGAAATTAACTATTTTAGTAAGTTATTTTAATTTTTTATTATTTTAATAGACTAAAATATTTATGTTTGAAGAGAGCGTTAAATTTTATATAATTAAATGTGATATTTATAAAAAAATAATTATAAATTTGATATGATATTTTATTTTATTAATTAAAATTTTAACAAAAAAAAATTAATTTTTAATTTTTCAAACACCTATTTATTTTTTAATTGGCTATTTTAATTCAATCCAATCCCCAAAGCCTTTATAACGTTGGGAGGGCCCATCTATTTTCCTCTTTTTCATCTTTTTGGCACTTTCCTCTCTGTTTCCCAATGAAAACGATGTCGATTCGACTTGAATCCTCTGCAACCTGATCTACATGCCAAACTCTGCACTTGGCTGCGGGTAGTAGCGGTACGATTAACGAGTCAGGATTTGTTAAAAACGAAAAATAAAAAATATTTGAGACCAATAATTTGACGCATAACGAGGTAGTAAGAGTTGGGGTGGTTTAGGATTGTAGGAGAGGGTTCAAGAAAGGAGTTGGAAAATTCGAAGATCTTCGAAGATTCTTGAAGAACAATTTCGAATTCTCTAGAATATGATGAGAGGCTTAGATTCTTCAATAATCTCAACAGTGATGTGATAAGGAGAAATAATGTGACTTAAATAAGATAGTGACAATTTTTTAAAATACCCCAAATAAGGCCTTAGTATCAATTTTGATTAATTACATAATAATATAATATTTACCTTCTTTACTATATTATTAATTACATATTTAGACCTCGTTTGGGGAGTGGCTATTTTAGCCAAAAAGTCAAAAAGTTAACTAAAACTAGTCACATCACCTCTCTACTTTTCTGTACATCTTTTCATAAAAAGTCAAAAAATTACTAAAATAATCTGTTCCCAAACGAGACCTTAATAATATAATATTTACCTTCTTTACTATATTATTATAATGAATTTGTAAGCCTAAAGTGTGAATTTTTACCATTACTCGGGAGAATTTTAAATTAGTGTTTTTTAAAAAATCTATTAGTGAGTGGTAAACTTCATATATATTTTCATCTTAAAATTTGGATCCCGTATTCTATTATTCATCATCTCGAAACATTAGTTAATTTTAAAAAATTAAGGACTAAAATAACATAAATTTTTTATTTTATCATTCTTTTAAATTCATTAGAGCATCTTCAACGTTGAATAAAAAAAATTATCAAAATTGAGTAAAAATTTGATTTGATATCATTCACTCCAATACTAAAATTATAATTTTCATAAGATTTTTTTACATTCCCTGTTGTTAAGGATAAGCAGCGGATATACCGATCCGTCAAAACCGACCGAACTGAACCGATCCACCGCATTTTGGACGGATGCGTGATGTGATAACCCTCACCACTGTTTACTGATAATACCACTGATTACTGCTAAAATGTGACTGAACATGATTAAGTAACTGATTTGACTGACATTCTGAGCTGATTGATTGAGTGTATTAGTTTAAACGCATTTCTATCTGTTTGACTGTTAATTGATCTGTTCATGTTTTAAGTGTCGAACTGTGAATTGAAAGCTTTATCGGCGGGCGAATCTGAAATTGATTAGTGTTTCATGTTAATTAGAATTTATGTGATTTTATGATATGTTTAATTGAAATTTGATTTGGTATTATTAAATTGGATTAAATAATGTTGAATTACATTAAATGAGTTTATTACCCTTTTGCCATTGAGTGGGCATCTTTAGGCCATTAGTTCATTTCAATTTGGATACACTATCTCAGTCATTTTTCTAGGCCAAAACCGAGAGAGGGAGAGAGAGAGAGAGAGAGACTTAAGAGAGAATTGTTTCATCTAGAGAATTACTTGGAGAATTATAAGATTTGGACGATAATTGCACGAATTGAGCTTTCATTCTTGAAATTGAGAACCTAAGGTAGGAGATTCATCTTCTTTATTGTGAATTTAAGTTGTTTCTTGCATGATTCATGGAAACATTAGTGATTTAAGTCAAAAATTGGTTTAAAATGTTGAATTGAGAGCTAGACCATGCATGCATGTACACATTGTTGAGTTTTGAGGTTGAGTTCATGGAACTCTTCACATGCATGTCTTTATTCTAGCTATGGTCCATGAATTCATCATGTTTTTGAGTGAATTTACTCATTTGATCAAGTATTTGAAGCTTTGATTTCAATTGAACACTTGCATGTTACATATACATTATGTTCATGAAGTTTTGTTTGGATTTGTGTTTAATTGAACTACCTTTGGGCTTTGATTTTGCAAATTGATCTTTGAAACATGTCATATTATGAGTTTTAAAGTGTTTTTTAGAAAATTAGCCCAAAAGGATCGGATTTGATGTTTGAAATGTTGAATTTGAGCTTGGAGGTTCAATTTGAAAATTCCAGATTTTGGACCCACGCTCAAGCGTAAGACTTCACGCTCGAGCGTACACTCTGAGTATATGCGTCCCGCTCGAGCGGGAAAAGTAACGCTCAAGCGTGAAATGCGTATATCCAGTATGTTTCATGTGTTTACAGTTCGCTCGAGCGAGGGAATGCACGCTCGAGCGAGGACTTGTGTTTTACACTCGAGCGGAAGTCGAGCGCCCGTTGAGCCTTAATTGCATGCATCCAGTACTTTTGCCTGAGTTTGCAGTCACACTTGAGCGGAGATCTTTTGTCTACATGTCCACTCGAGCGTAGAAAGCTACGCTCGAGCGAGACCCATGTTTTTTGAAAATTTTGAAAAGTGTTTTAAAGTACATCTTTGCATCCTCATTTCATCCTAGGCATTCCTAGGCCTAGTTTAAGGCATCTTAATGAGGTTATTGATGTAGAACCACACCGAGTCAACTAAGGGGTTAAGTTATTAAACCCAAGTGTATAACTTAGTGTGTGTTCGTTCTGTAACTGTAGGGTTGGCATTCGAGGACGCTCATTAGCTACTTATAGCCTAGTGCTCTGTGAGTAACAATGTTGTAAAGATATGTTCAATTATGAATATTTTTTAAAAGATCAACTGTTCTGTTTACCGAAACGTTATTGTTTAACGAATGAATGTTTGTCCTATTTGTAAACTGTATTCGTGGCATCTATAGCAATTTACTGTTACTGTACTGTTACTATTACCGTCACAGAGATCTCTGTCGGTTCCCATGTTTGGAACCACTACTGTTTACTGTTATGATGGCCATCAATTGACTGTTCAGTCTGTTAAGACCTACTGTATTGTTTGCTATTGGATGTATCACATATAACTTCTATGGTTTCTAAATGACTGATATGACTGTTTAATGATTGAAAAGACATTCACTCTCAATATCTTTACACAACTGTTATTCACTGGGCTTTAGCTCACTATTTATATATATATGTAGGTGTCCAGGAACCGGATCGGAGCTAGGAGCGTTGGGTTAAACTCCCTTTTTGTCAAGCCAACCAACGTGCCTCACTACGAGGTTCCAAGTGTGTTCAAGCTTAGGCTCGTTTGGGGTGTCTTAGTTCACCATTCTGTCTCTGTTTTGTAATACTGTATAGACTTGTACTGTACTGTTATGGTAGAGATTTGGTCCCTAACCTGAATGCCTGTATATGATGTATGTACATACTGTTTTTGTTCCGAATGTAAATGTGTTATGCAAAATCTTTTGCATACAGACTGTCACAGCTCATTGGACATCTTTCATTTACTGTTTTGGCTTCCGCTAGCCCCTATACTCTGTATTACTGTTATTACTGTTAAACAGGCCTTCGGTAATCACTGATTACTGGCCAGTTGCAGTGCTAAACCCATAGGGGCGGGTTTGGGTCGTGACAGCGTGATGATGAGCGGACGATTGCGGATCAATCCGCCAATTTGGCGGACAGATGGCGGATTTGAGGTTCCTTTGGCCGCAACCAAACCACCAAACCGCGAGCACCCTTAGTAATTTATAAGACTTTGTGTTTTCAATTTGTTTCAATATTTTGTTTGTGTTTTCAATTGAAAAAGAGTTCGAATATTCTGTTGAAAAAAAGTTTTTAACTTGAATATATTTTTTGAATTGAAAAAAATAAACGTATTATTTATCTATATTTTTTAATTTTTAAATCTAACTCTAAAAATAATAAATAGAAAATATGATATATGGTGGTTAGTTTTGTTTTCAAAAATATATATAAATGTAATAATACAGAGACATACAATCTCTACTATTGCTCTGTTCATGGTTTTGGTGGTTTGAATTGTTTTTATATTTTAAGAACAACAGATGGTAATACTTATGTGGATAAGGAATGCTGTGATTGTGATATGTGGATGAGACATGCAATGATTGTGATATTCTAAAGTTTTAAACTTTCTTTATTTGGATGAGACATGCAATAATTGTAATACTTTTTTAAGTCATTGACTGTAATACTCTTTTTTTCCTTTTCTTTTTTGAGGAAGTGCACAAGTTGAACTATGTTGAAAATTTATAAAATTTCAAACTGCCAAACCGATTCGCATCCATCCATCAAACCGCCAATCCGCTTAATCCGCATTCGCCGGATTGACGGACGGATGCGGATTAATTT